TCGATTTAGTAATCAATCGAACTGGAATAGAATTGTTTGCCCTGCTTACACCGTTGCGAATTTGCTGTTCTAAACCTTAACAGTCTTTCTTGTGCCGAATTATTCTTAGAGATAAAAGAAAGCTACTGCCACAGGAATGCCTATAAACCATGTGTGCTTCCTTTTGACCCAAGCAAAACCTAATTACAGAGTCTGTAGTTCCCCTTTCCGTCGAAGTATAGATCTCCCTGGTATTAGTTTACCTTAAACAAATGCATATGTCAGAACCTGAGTGGCTCCACGTCTCTGATAGTAGTTTACCTTAAACAAATGTAGATGTCAGAACTTGAATGGCTCCACGCATCCACCTTAACTAGAAATAACCTTGGGTTGGGGGATGATTTTCTTTGAAGGGAGGGTAACCGGTCTTTCGAGTGAACTGCAATTCAGGACCAAAGCAATGCCCCAAAATGGAATGTTGTACGATCTAAATGACCAGGATTTAGAATGCCTATATATACACACGACCGCACTTCTATGTTTCTTCCTCCACATTGCTCCTCAAAAATGAAGCAGCTGCAGCAGATTGGAGTCGTTGCCTCCTTCATATTCTCCATCCAATTGCACCTCCTTGGTAACTGATCGTGCTGGACAGTTTGTATCATTATGATTGTGTTGATGCATTGATTCGCTTGCTAACTAATATTGATTTCTTGCTAACTAAATTGGTCATTAATCTACAGGGGTTGCATTGGGCCACCAAGTCACATTTTACGTACACAACAAATGCCCCTTCCCAATCTGGCCAGCCACAGCCTCCAACACCGGCCACCCAGTCATCGCCGACGGCGGATTCCACCTCCCGGCCGGTTCAACCCAACGCATAATTGCCCCATGGGACTGGTCGGGCCGAATCTGGGCCCGAACCGGCTGCAACTTCCCACCCACCCCTGCCTCCAATCGGACCAATTGGCAACCCGCCTGTGAAACAGGGGACTGCGACGGCCGGCTCCAATGCAACGGCCTGATCGGAACCCCTCCGGCGACCCTCGTCGAAATCACCCTCCAAGGCTACAAGGCCAGCCCGAATTACTACGACGTCAGCCTCGTCGACGGCTACAATCTCCCTGTCTCCGTCATGAGCAAGCCCATCTCCTCCAAGTGCTCGATCGGCGGGTGCGTCAGGAACCTGAACGATTGCTGTCCGCCGGAGCTCCAGGTGCTGAGCCGGGACGGGTCGGGTCGGGTCGTGGCCTGCAAGAGCGCTTGCACGGCGTTCAACAACGACGCGTTCTGCTGCCGGAATGAGTACGGCACGCCGGCCAAGTGCCGGCCGAGCGTCTACTCGAGGTTGTTCAAGGATGCTTGCCCGAGTTACTACAGCTACGCGTTTGATTCGCCGCCGCCGCTGGTGAAATGTGACGCCAAGGAGTATGTGGTCACGTTTTGCCCTGCGTCGTGGGGCAGCGACGAGCTGCAAGAGATGTGAGATTATTTGTGGGAATGGGAAATAAGGGAAGAGTATGATTTGTGAAAGGCAAATTGCTGTATATATGGTAAAAAATGCATATAATGTACTTGAGATTGGGGGTTTAAATAAGGCTTTGTAGTGGAATAATGTCAACAAGGAGATTGGATATGGTGGGGTAAGTATGTAGATCACAATGTGCAACACCAAGCTACTTTGTTATAATTATTCTACTGGTCAATTAACTAAAAATTCAATATATTAATTTTTAAATTTGAGTTAATACCTAATGAAATACTTAGTATTCGGCCTAATCGGATAGGGTAATGCGTGAAACAAAATGAATGTTAATAAGTATGGATAAATTCGAACTCGAATATAGCAAGTGATGAGTAGGCATGGTTTTCTCACTACACTACTCGAATCCACCTGATTATACAATGCATATATATTTTATTTGGACATTATCATTATTTTCTAAACATATTAAATATTTATCATAAATATATAATGTTTGCATGAAATTGTATTGTTTCTAACTCATTTTCTTCGTTCTAGTTATTTGCCGTTGTAATTTTCATTTGTGTAATGTCGATGTATGTTCAATTGTTAATATGTTGGTTGAAGTTATAAAGAGAAATTATTATTTTCGAATAATCGTGGATACCAAAAACTCGATTGAACATGAGTATTGTTTCGATATTCTAACTAATTCTTATATGAATATGAGTAAAATCCAAACTATTTTAATTAGGATAACGAATATGCATTATCCAATACCAATCCAACTCGTTGCATCTCTAATAGCCGTGACATGCGGATCATGATTTGCTTTAATATGCAATCATGGAGAGGCAGGGTCCGGGCCCAGGCCCAGGCCCATTGGACCGGATCATGAATGTTAACGTGCCATAAGCCCATAACAGCTTCTTCTCATCACTTTGAAGGAGCCGTTAAAGTGGCGCCATAATCACCAAACCCAGAAAAGGGGAATCCTTCACACCTTCTGTACACTGCAATCATCCCTCTAAAACTTGCTCCATCAATAGAAGAAAAGTCAATTAGATTGATTAGTCCATTCAATGCACCATGGCAGATTGCCTTGGGTTTCTCAAAACTGCAATTTCTTAAACAAAAAGAGTCAAACAAATTCCATCCATCCCATGACCCATGTGCCTCTCACCTTCTTGCTCTGCAAGAACTCGAGGAGATCCGCCATTAATGGCGGACCAAAGCAAGCAAGAAGAAGAAGAAAAAGGGACAAAAGAGACGCAAAGTGAACCTTTGACAAATACCCCATTCTTCCCCCCACCCGCCTCAATTAATCCCTGGGTGCAAAAATCATTCATTCTCCATACCAAAGCCATGGGCTTGAAGCACCATAGCTCGAGACCCACTTACGTTTCATCATCTCCTCGCCACAATCGAATCCCCATGAAATTCTCCAAATTCATCACCTGGGCAGCCATTTTCTTCACTTCCCTCTTCCTATTCCTCTCCCCACTTACCCAATTCCACTCCCCCTCCTCCTCCTTTTCTTCCCTCCCCTCCGCCGCAAAACCCTTCTCCGGCGACCTCCGCGACGCAAACTTCCCCTGGAACAAGCTCTGTTTCGGCCCCACCTCCACACTCGACAAGCTCAAGCTCGCCGTCTTCTCCAAAACCTGGCCGATCGGCGCCAACCCGGGCGGAATGGAGCGCCACGCCGCCACCCTCTACCGCGCCCTCGCCGACAAGGGCCACGAGATCCACGTCTTCACCGTCCCTTCCGACCGCCGCCCGCACCCTGAAATCCACGACAACAACCTCCACGTCTACTTCGCCGCCAACGACCATGGATCCGTCAACTGCTCCCTCGCCTTCGAGATCTTCCACCGGATCAACGCCGCCGCTCGCCCCTTCGACTACGTGCACACGGAGAGCGTCTCGCTGCCGCACTGGCGGGCCAAGGCGGTCCCCAACACGGCCGTGACGTGGCACGGGATCTGGTACGAGATCATGCACTCCAAGTTATTCGAGGAGCTGTTTGAGAACCCGAGAGGGGAATTGGCCGGGGCGACGCCGGCGGCGGCGGAGCTTGCGGTGGCCATGCCGAAGCTTCTGGACGAGATCAGGTTTTTCAGGAGCTACAAACAGCACATTTGTATCAGTAACAGCGCCGGCGAGGTGCTGGTGAAGATTTACCAGCTGCCGCAGAGGAATGTCCATGTGATTCTCAATGGTGTTGATGATTCCAAATTTACTTACAATCCTGATGCAGGGGAGGAATTCCGAGAAAGATACGGAATTCCAGGTAGGCAATTCGTATAAATTTGGTACCAAATTTGTCTTTATAACACTTTGGCACAATTAACCTTGTCCCTAATGTCAAGTTCAGTGTCACATACTAATCAAGTCATTTCATGGTTGTTCATCCTTTTCAAAAAATTTCAGGCAACGCGACTCTGGTAATGGGAGTGGCAGGGCGGCTGGTTCGTGACAAAGGCCACCCGATTCTCCACGAGGCGATGTCGTCGCTGATCTCGAGGTACCCCGGAATCTGCCTGGTGGTGGCCGGATCAGGACCCTGGGGAAGAAGGTACGCCGAGCTGGGTCCAAACGTGAAAGTGCTAGGCGCACTGGAACCATCTCAGCTGTCACAGTTCTACAACGCGATCGACGTGTTTGTGAACCCTACGATGAGGCCGCAGGGGCTGGACCTGACTCTGATCGAAGCAATGCACTGCGGGAAGCCCGTCGTGACGCCCAATTACCCCAGCATTACCGGCACGGTGGTGGTCGACGACCGGTTCGGGTATACGTTTTCGCCTAATGTGAAGTCGCTGGTGGAGGCTCTGGAGGTGGTGATCGGAGATGGGGTTCGTGTGATGCAGAGGAAGGGGATGGCGTGCAGGGATTATGCTGGGTCGATGTTCACCGCCGGGAAGATGGCGGCTGCTTATGAAAGGTTTTTTCTTTGTATGAAGAACAGTAGATACTGTCAATACCCTCTTCCCACTGACTGTTGATAAGAGAAAGCCCAGCAAAGATGTTGTATATGGCCCTCTCGTTGCATTCTTTGTAGGACGATTCAGATTAATTAAAGCTTTACTTTCTCTCTTTGGATTGTGATGTCTTGATTTGATCATGATTTCATCATCACGATGAAGGTTTCAAATCATAAAGAACTAATTGGGGAAGGCTAGACGAATCATTAAGCTTGTGCTTAAGTCATAATCGTTCAGAGGGAAAGATGATTACGCGGCCTTAATCACGCGTTACCATTTGACATGTGCACTGGGCTGGTAATCAAGGGGTGGTTAATTACTTAATGGGCCATTGAGCACCGGGTAATCTCAAGACGCAAGATAGGGTGTATAACCATGGGTTATGCATTCATCAATAACCAAATATGGACCCTTCATTTAGAAAATTCAGATATAAGGATGAAGAATTAAAGACCATTTTTATTTTCCCTAACTTTCTTAATCGGCTCATATCTTTTTCGTTTTAATTCGGTTTTTTTTTTTTTTTTCACAGGTGGAATGAGTTCATCGTGCTCTACAAAATGAGATCAATTTTCAATATTTTTTTAGAACAAAAAATTCTGGCATCTCGGTACCAACTGCATACCATATAGTATTTTCTTCGTTTTTAATTCGTTTTTGAAAACGTTTGCACAGAAGGGACGAGTTCATCATGATCTATTGAATCTACAAATTTTTGGGTGAACAAATTACACGACCAAAAAATACCACACAATATCATACAATACCACCCTGGTATGGGGTGGTATCTTATGGTACACAATGTTAAAAGTCGTAAATGACAGTTAATATATTTCTACTATCATGTATTCAACCATCCTACAGTCTTGGTTTGTTCATACCACCATTGCACGCTTTTCAAACCATAGGTATGCTCTTATTTCAATACCAGTCAATACCATATGGTATAGACTGGTAAAAAATGGCTCACTTTTTTTTGTACGAAAAATATATCAAAGTGGATATCATTTTGAAGAGCACAATTAATCTGATCTAACTGTGAAAAAAATCGACTTAAATCGAGTGAGAAATAGTCTTTTTTTTTTTTACAAAAGATAATCATTAGATTAAAACCAAAAGATCGTTACATCCTGGAATACAGCCAGGCCTGGAAATCAAACAATCGACATGTAGTTGGGAACAAAGACAGGGCCTGTCTAGCTACCAGATGAGCTACCCTATTGTTACGTCGTCCTACAAATCGTACAGTGAAACCTCTGTTCGAAGCAAACAAGTTGACTATCTCTTCCAGAATTGCCCGTATTTGATTGTCACGAACATCCCGCCAGAGAATCTTCTCAATTACCACCTGGGTATCACCTTCAAACCTCATGACAGTGAATCCATTTGCCAAGCACCAGCCCATCGCCTCCCAGAGGACCAGAGCTTCAACCATCATTGGATCATCCAGGAACAGGAAGTGAACCCCCTTCGCAAGGATGAGCGCTCTATCAGAATTGAGGATAACCATCCCCCCAGCCGCATGAGATCCCAACCGCACAGCCCCATCCCACATACAAATTGTCGTGCCAGCTCCATCAACAACTACGGTCGGGGCCGGGGGGCGCCCAAGCCGATCCGTCTGATCCCGGGGTAAGCTAAGCCATTCCTGGATTTGTTGGTGGAACTGCCGCATCAAGGCAGGGATCCCAAACTGTTTGCCTTCAAAGACTACCCAGTTACGGGATCGCCAAATCCGCCACAGAACAGCCACTACAGACATCACCAAAGCAGGGTTATGCACCACAGCCAACAATTTCTTCAAAAATAGCGGAAACGTATGGCGAGGCAAACCTTCACCCAGGTGGGCTAGCCCCGAATGATCCCACAATGCACGAGCCACCAGGCACTCCAAGAACATATGTTCCAAAGTTTCCGATGCCTCCCAGCACACCGGACAACGAGGCAAAACATCCACCTTCTTTTCACGCAACGCTTCCGCAGTAGGAAGAATTCTATGAAAGACTTGCCATAGAAACACCCTAAGCTTCGGAGGAATATCTGCCTCCCACGGCCTGATCCAACTAGGCTTATCCATCTAACTAGCCAAAGCCCTCCAACGACCATTCTGATGTTCCATATTCACCGCGACGTAGTACGCAGATTTAACTGAGAAAACACCATCAGAAGTCGGATGCCATATCAATTTATCCTCAATATTCTGGCGCGGCAAAGGGATAGTCTTAATGGCTCTACAAGTATCTGGATCAAACCATTGACATAGTTTTTGCTCATTCCATCGACCCTCCCCTTGCTAGATCACCTCCTCCACCTTCAAACCCTCACCCTCAGGAACCACACACGGGTTGTAGACTTGGAGAAGGGGATGTTGCTGGGGCATCCAGCTGGATGTTAGCAGAGGGGCCTTCTGACCATTCCCAATTTGCCATCGCAACCATGATTCCAACAATTGTCAACCAAAGAGGATACTTTGCCACCCCCAAGAGGGACGAGAATGGGCCTCGACAGTGAGGAACGATCCATTGGGGAACCGTCCATCAAAGATTAAGGAGGGAAAAATTAAAGGCTTTGCAAGAGAGAGGAATGCTGATGTCATGCTGACATAGACAGGTTACTCATGATTACTCACCATAAAGGTTATTGACCTGATTCATTCCCTAATCTCAATTGATTAACAATCACCCCAACAATTAGTAACATGATCCACCCGGTAATTAAGTCTAGTCTTGTAAAATTTCCTGAAATCATGCAAAAACAAAATGAATGAAATGCAAAAATTGGAACGCTCTGGTCTAGTCTTTCCTCCTCTACAACTAACATAATTGGACCGTTTGTCCCCTTTGCATAAAATTATTGTTATTTGATATGGATGATTCCAAAATACCTACTATGTAGACTTTCTTACCTTAAGAGGGACCCAAATCCCCTGCGTGGCTCCCAAGTTTCACTTTATAAGCCAAGAAAACTGTAAACAAACAGCAGCCGACTGCAGAGCATCCATGGTGGAATTTGCTTCTCCACTCTGCTCTTCCCATACTACATAAACACCTTCCATTTCAACTAACCAGAGCTCCATAACAACAACCCACTTCCCCAGAAATGGCCACCGGAGGAGGCGATCAGACATGGTGGGCCAGCTTAGGTTCAGCGCTCGCCGGCCTGATGTTCATCTACGCAATGTTCCAGCAGTACTTCCCATACGAACTCCGCGGCCACGCCCACAAGTACACCCAGAAGCTCGTCACCTACTTCTACCCTTACATCCAGATCACCTTCCACGAGCTCACAGGCGAGAAGCTGAAGCGCAGCGACGCCTACTTCGCCATCCAGAACTACCTCGCCGACCACACCACCGCCACGGCCAAGCGCCTGAAGGCCGACGTCGTGAAGGGCAGCAAGTCCCTCGTCCTCACCATGGACGACCACGAGCAGGTGATGGAGGAGTTCCAAGGGATCAAAATCTGGTGGAGTTCCAACAAGAACACCCCCAAAAGGCCCTCCTTCTCGTTCTACCCGAAGACAGAGGAGAGGAGGTACTATACTCTGACTTTCCACAAGAGGTATAGAGACGTCATTACCAAATCGTACATCGACAAGGTTTTGAAGGAAGGGAAGGCGATCGCCGTGAGGAACAGGGAGAGGAAGCTTTATACTAACAATCCTAGCGATAGTTGGTACGAATACCAGTCGACGAAGTGGAGCCATGTCCAGTTCGAGCACCCTGCAAATTTCGAGACTCTGGCTATGGCGGAGAACGAGAAGGAAGCGATCAAGAATGATCTGATCAAGTTCAGTAAGGGAAAGGAGTATTATACTAAGATCGGGAAGCCATGGAAGAGGGGTTACCTTCTGTATGGCCCGCCTGGAACTGGGAAATCGACGATGATTGCAGCAATGGCGAACCTGTTGGACTATGACATCTATGATCTTGAGTTAACCACAGTGAAGGACAACTCCGAGCTCAGGAAGTTGCTGATTGAGACTACCAGCAAGTCGATCATCATAATCGAGGATATCGATTGCTCAATTGATCTCACAGGGCAGAGAAGGAAGGAGAAGAAGAAGTATGAAAGCAGTAGTAGCAGTAGTGACGAAGAGAGCAGTAGTAGCGAGGAAGATGATAAGAAGAAGGATCCAGTGGAGAAGAAGAAGGATGAGGAAGAGAAGAAGAGCAAGAAGGGGAGTAAGGTGACGCTCTCGGGGCTGCTGAACTTCATCGACGGGATATGGTCTGCGTGTGGAGGGGAGAGGATCATCGTCTTCACCACGAATTTCGTCGATAAGCTTGATCCAGCATTGATAAGGAGAGGGAGGATGGATCGGCATATCGAGATGTCGTATTGCTGCTTCGAGGCGTTTAAGCTGCTGGCGAGGAATTATCTGGATTTGGAAGGCCATGAATTGTTTGACAGGATCGAGGTGTTATTGGGAGAGAAGGAGATCACGCCGGCGGATGTTGCAGAGTGTTTGATGCCTAAGTCGGAGAGGGAAGGTGTTGAGAGTTGTTTGAGGGAGTTGGTGAAGGTTCTGGAGAAGTTGAAGAAGAAGAAGCAAGGAAAGAAGAAAGCGGAAGAAGAAGATGAAGTGAATGGAGAGGAAAATGGTGACGGTGCAAGTGGCGAATCGTCGTCGGAGAGTGGTGAGTCATCGTCGGAAGACGATGAGGTAGCAGGGAAAGGAAGGAAGAGGAATGGTAAACGATGAAGTGTGGTAACTCTGATTGTTCAGGTGAGACTCTGAAAATTATGGGTCGTTTTGGTTAGAATTTATTAAAGTTTGGATGTGTATCTTTGATCATGGAGGCTAGATTCATTTCATGAACCAAGTCACTGATCTCTGTTTAGATGAAAGACATAAAACAGGACTGTTGTTGCTCTATCTAGTAACTCTAATTTCTCTGTTGATCATTCTACAATCGAGTTTTGTTGAGACTGGCGATTCAGAGAATAATAACAAGACTACAGAAGAGAGCGATAACTAAATCGTAACAAGGTAAAACGATTCAAGATTTGATCCTGAGGGTTTTGGCTAGAAGTGTATACCAATTGGTCCAATTGCAAACCGATCGGCTTTTAGACCAAACCGGATTGGACCATGTGACCATATGCTGTCCTAGGCAAAATGCAATTCTAACAAATGGTAGCCATGCCAACAACGTCCTATGATTGTTACCGTGATACTACAGTTATCACTTGTTCACAAAACAGAGCAGAGTACAAAGAAAATACAATTCCGATGAATGAAACAGAGCATAACATTCTGGTGGCTTTTCCATCTCTGACAAATATATGAAGCCACAAGCATTTCATGCTCTTGACCTCTTACCATGGCATAAAACTACAAACAACTTTAAGAACATCACCAGAATTCACTTACCACTAAACCAGAAAGAAACCATTGCAGAGAAATAAAGATCAAGACTTGCAAAGATGTTGGGCCAACTGACCTCGTTCCTCCCGAGTCTCTTCTTCCTCTGCACAATGTTCCAGAGAAACCTTCCTCGCGACTTCCAGAACCACATCGACAAGTTCCTCCACAAGTCCCTCTTCGCCTTCCTCTACCCGTACATCCAGATCACCTTCCACGAGTACTCCGACGACTTCTACTACCGCCGCAACACCGCCTACGCCGCCATCGACAACTACCTCAGCTCCCAGTCCATCCAGCAGTCCACATCCTTGAAGGCCGACTCCTACAAGGGAAACAAGAACAAGCTGCTGTTAACCATCGAAGACCACCAGGAGGTCTCCGACACCTTCGCCGGCGTCACCCTCGTCTGGTCCAAGGAGAGCTCAAAGCAGAAACACAGCTACTCCGGCAAGGACAAGGTCTACAAGCTGACGTTCAACAGAAAGCACAGGGATCTCGTCACTGGCGCTTACCTGAAGCACGTCGTCGACGAAGGCAACGCCATCTCGCAGCAACACAGGCAGAGGAAGCTTTACGCCAACGGGTCGAAGAAGTCGTATACGGGTTCCAGTACGGCGTCGTGGAGCCATATTGTGTTCAAGCACCCGGCGTCGTTTGACACTCTGGCGATTGATCCGGCGAGGAAGAGGGAGATCATGGATGATTTGCTGGCATTTAGCAAGTCGGAGGAGTACTATGCGAGGATTGGGAAGGCGTGGAAGAGGGGTTACCTTCTCTATGGCCCGCCGGGGACAGGGAAGACCACCATGATTGCTGCTATAGCGAACTTCTTGAGCTATGATATCTATGACCTGGAGCTGACTGCGGTGAAGGACAATTCAGATTTGAGGAAGCTACTGATTGAGATATCGAGTAAGGCGGTTGTTGTTATAGAGGATATTGACTGTTCGCTTGAGATTACAGGTCAAAGAAAGAAGAAGAAGGCCAAGAAGAAGACTACCAAGAAGGGTGAGAGTGAAGAGGAGAAGAAAGAAGATGATGGTGGAAGTGGTGGTGATGACAAGGAGTTGGAGAGTGGAGATGAGACTGAGAGCAGCAGCAATGTGACACTTTCTGGGTTGTTGAATATCATTGATGGGATTTGGTCAGCTAGTGGAGGGGAGAGGGTTGTAATATTCACGACCAACCATGTGGAGAAGCTGGATGAGGCATTGATCAGGAAGGGAAGGATGGACAAGCATATCGAGCTTTCTTACTGCGATTTCGAAGGGTTTAAGGTGCTTGCTAAGAACTACCTTAGTATTGAGACTCACCCGCTGTTTGAGGTCGTTCGAGGCCTGCTGGAGAAGACCAAGGTTAGCCCTGCTGATGTAGCTGAGAGTCTAATGCAGAAGGCTGTGGAAGAAGATGCAGAGATTTGCTTGAACAGGTTGATTCGGGACCTCGAGAGTAAGACTGCCAAGGAAGGAGAACAGAGTAAGGAAGCATAAGTGCAGAACAAGTGAATGGAGCAGAGCAAGAAGAAAGGAAAGATTGAATGAAGGGAAATAATGGGTGGATAAGTTTGGGTTAGTTGTTTGGAATTTGAGGTTTCTTATTATGTTTAGCGTTAATCATGTGTCAGTGTTTTGGAACTACAAACTACAAAGAGACCTACTGGATTGTTTATTTAGGTTCTTCTAGTGAACTAAAATTCCATCATTATCTTCTTCGGCTATGGCTGTTAAGCCTAAAAGGCAGGAAGGTAGTCAGTAGGAGATTGTCATAAAATCAGTTTGCTTTTACATAAAAAAATCATAATAATTAAAATAAGTGTGTTGGAAATTCTTCCTCAAGTTGATTTATCCTATTGTTAGTAGGAAACTTGTAGTCCTGATACTACAAGGAGAGGAAAAAGTTACCTTGTCCGTATTGGATAAGGAATATCCTTCCTATTTACTTCTGGAAACCGGCTGATGGTACTCTATATAAACACTTTCAGAGTATAGAGTAATAGAAGATTAACCCATGCGAATCAACATGTCACGAGCTATGATGGATTCAATGCGAGAACTCCAAAAGAACTTAGGCAGCAGGGGAAGAGCACTTAATAACACGATGATTATCAAGCCAAGGTCTAGTAGTATGATCACTCACCTGGGAATGCGATCAATGATCGCCACTATTAAGTTCGTGGTGTCTCTTTTGCAACAGTTTTTCCGGTACCAACTCCAAGGCACTGTAGAGAGATACTGCCAGAGGGCTCTCTACATGGTCTACCCGTACGTCACGATCACTTTCAATGAACTCAAGGCCAACCGGCTATCTCGCCCTGAACTCTACTCCGCCATTGAGAGCTATCTCAGCTCCCATTCATCCACGCAAGCCAAGCGGCTGAAGGGCGAGTTACTCAATAACAACTTGTCCAAGGTGGTGCTTAGCGCAGACGAACATGAAGAGATCACAGATGAGTTTCAAGGGGTCAAGCTATGGTGGGTATCCGGGAAGACCATCGCCAACACCGTAACACTTTCTGCCCAAAATGATGAGAAAAGGTATTACACGCTGACTTTCCACAAGAAGCACAGGGATCTCGTCGTTGGACCATATTTGAGCTATATCATGAAGGAAGGAAAAGCAATTAAAGTTAGAAACCGGCAGCGGAAGCTTTTTACTAACAATGGTCCACAGTGGAGATATGTAATGCTTGAGCATCCTGCAACATTCGAAAATCTTGCGCTGGAGGCAGACAAGAAGAAGGAAATTCTTGAAGACTTGATCACGTTTAGCCAAGCGGGAGAGTACTATGCGAGAATTGGAAGAGCTTGGAAGAGGGGTTACCTTTTGTATGGTCCTCCGGGGACTGGGAAGTCCACCATGATCGCAGCCATAGCCAATCTTCTCAGCTATGATATCTTCGACCTTGAATTGACATCCGTGAAGGATAATGCCGAGCTGAGGAAGCTTCTAATTGAGACAACGAGCAAATCTGTGGTTGTGATTGAGGACATTGATTGTTCTCTGGACCTCACTGGTCAGCGGAGGCAGCAAGCAGAGGTTGCGAAACAGAAACCAACGAGGGAAGACAGTGAGCCCAAACTAAGCTTAGTCACCCTTTCGGGACTTTTGAACTGCATTGACGGGCTATGGTCAGCTTGCGGAGGAGAAAGACTGATCATTTTCACGACCAATTATGTCGAGAAACTCGACCCAGCTCTCATCAGGAAAGGAAGAATGGATAAACACATTAAACTTTCATACTGCAGCTTCGATGCGTTCAAAGGGTTGGCAAAGAATTACCTTCTGCTAGATGATCACCAACTCTTTGACAAGATTCGCCAGTTACTGCAACAAACTCAGATTACCCCGGCTGATGTTGCAGAGCATTTGATGCCCAAAACTCACCCCCCGGATCCTGAGGTGTGCTTGAATAGTCTGGTGAGGAGCCTTCAAGCGGCTGCAGTGAATGCGAGACCCAAAGCTGCTGCAGCCAATGCGAGACTGAAAGCAGATGCAGTGAATGTGAGACCGGAATCGGAGAAAGAACTACATCAGGAGACTGCTGCAGTGAATGCGAGATCAGAAGAGGCGAAAGAACTGCATCAGGAGAAAGAAACCACTGTGTGTTCAAAAAAAAGGAAAGGAATCACTGACCTTGAAGAAACAAAAGAAGTAAACAAGGGAAGCACCGGACAAAAAGGAATGACACCCCAACCAGGATTCAAGGGTATTCTAACTGACCCTAGCCGATCAATGCAGGTAATGCCTGCTTTGCCCGGATATGGGTACGGGTATTATCCGGTGCAAAATTTGGCGGGTAGGGTAGGGTATGCGTTGGGTCAATACCCGATTCAGACTGTACCAATACCCGTATCCGCTCCCAAAACCATGTAATTAAGCAGCACATGTAATTAAGAAACTTTCTTATCTCTTACTGCCCATTGTCTGCCATTCTGAAAGTGTAGTTGACATGCATATGACATTGCAATTAAAAACGTAAGGATGTGGGCCTCCTAACTTAGAAATGCCATTTGCAATAACATGACAGTTCTTTCATTTTACCGATTAATTTAGTTTAGTTAATTTTATGCATATGATTCTAAGTTACACTCGATGAGCATGATTAAACTCTGCGTTTGTTGAATATTATTTTTGGGATCTGGTCAGCAAGTGGAGGGGAGAGGTAATAGATTTTACGAAGAACCATGTTGAGATGCTGGACAAGGCATTGATCAGGGGAGGAAGGATAGATAAGCATAACGGAGCTTTGTAACTATGATTTCAAATGGTTTAAGGTTCTTGCTAAGAACTACCCTAGCGTTGACAATTGATAATCACCCCACTGTTTGAGGTCGTTCGAGGTCTACTCGAGAAGGCCAAGAGTAGCCCTGCTGATGTAGCTGATAGTTTGATGCAGAAGGCTGTTAAAGAACATGCAGAAATTTGCCTGAATAGGTTCACACCCATGACCTCGACAGGCTGCCAAGTTAGAAAGGGGAAGAATGAAGCAGATAAATAAGATGAGGTATTAATGATTGAACAAAAGAGAAGAATGGTTGGATGAGGTATGTTTGGCATCAATAGTTTATGATCATGTTTTTGGTTAAGTATTGTGTCAGTGTTTTGAAACTACAGAAACCTAATGCTGGCTTTATTCATTTAGGATTCTTTAGTCAGCTAAAACTAATACCGGCAAAACAGTTCGATTTGGTTAATCTCGAAACCGGAAATGTTTTATAGCACTTTCTCTTACAAGGATAATGATTAAGCAAAACCGTTAAAGGATCTCGAACAGTTTGGTTTTGGTCAGGAGCAAGTGAAACCGTCTAACGGTTTGGCACGGGTATGCAAATATAATTCACTCTCAGGCACGAAGTGTTTCGGCTTACATAGTTTCTAGTACTTTTGTGGTTTCGACAGAACTGATTAGCACATAAATGATTGAAGCCTATAAGAAAGCCAATAAGGGTACCTAACCTAACTGGTCCAATTTTCAGTTAACAAGAAAATCAAAAGCGGTTTAGCGCCCCCAGCTAAAACACGATCATCTTGTCTAATTTTGTTCTGAATTAATAATACTCTAATTCTTGATTTGCCCTTAATGTTAGAGGGAGCTTATCGTCCTAATGTTAATAGAAAAAAGTGACTAGTCCTTATCAGAGTACAATTCACCATAGAGATAGAATTCCTCTATGGTTCAAGAATACAGTAAGTCAGTAACCTATTAAGAAATACATTCTTCCTCTCCTATGTACTATGGAAATCGGCTAATGGTGCTCTATATAAACCTTTTGAGTATCAATAATAGAAGATCCCCCATTAATCAACATGGCAAAAGCTAAGAGTATAGTCAAATCGTTTAACAGGACGAACCCATGGAATGGTTTTACTCACCTGGGATCGTTAATCGCCACTTTGATGTTCGTTTGGTCTCTTGTTCGACAGTATAGAAGATTACTGCCGTACCAACTCCGCGTCATTCTAGAGAAATACTGCCAGAGGGCTCTCCCCTTCGTCAACCCTTACGTTCAAATCCGTTTCAGTGAACTCTGCAGCGAAAATCTGATGTGCACTGAACTCTACTCCGACATCGAGAGCTACCTGAGCTATCATTCATCAACGCAGGCCAAGCGCCTGAAGGCCGATTTACTGAAGAACAGTCAGTCCAAGCTGGCGCTTAGCGTAGATAGTTCTGAAGAGATTGCTGATGAATTTCAAGGGATCAAGCTATGGTGGGCTTGTGGGAAAACCATGTCCAGTACCGGATCACCTTCGCTCCATAATAAGACAAGGTACTACAGGCTGACTTTCCACAAGCAGCACAGGGATCTCATCATTGGGCCGTACCTGAGCCATGTCATGAAGGAAGGGAAAGCGATTAAGGTTAGAAATCGGCAGCGCAAGCTTTATACTAACAACGGCCCATTTTGGAAACATGTGGTGTTTGAGCATCCTGCAAACTTTGAAACGCTTGCGTTGGAAGCAAAGCAGAAGAAGGAAATTCTTGAAGACTTGATCACCTTTAGCCAAGCGGAAGAGTATTATGCGAAAATTGGAAGAGCTTGGAAGAGGGGTTACCTTCTGTATGGTCCTCCGGGGACTGGGAAGTCCACAATGATCGCAGCCATGGCCAATCTTCTGAACTACGATATATATGACCTTGAATTAACATCCGTCAAGGATAATGCTGAACTGAGGAAACTTCTAATTGAGACAACGAGCAAATCGGTGATTGTGATTGAGGACATTGATTGTTCTCTTGATCTTACTGGGAAGAGGAAGCAGACGAAGGTAAAACAAGAAGTAGAGGTCCCGAAGCTCCCGAAGCTTACAAGGCCGAAGTATCTTACTGACAGAGAGCCTAAACCAAGCCAAGTTACTCTTTCCGGGCTGTTAAACTTCATAGATGGAATATGGTCAGCCTGCAAAGGAGAAAGGTTGATTGTTTTCACGACCAATCACGTCAAGAAACTCGATCCAGCTCTCATAAGGAAAGGAAGAATGGACAAACACATTGAACTTTCATACTGCAGTTTTGAAGCATTCAAAACGTTGGCCAAAAATTACCTTATGCTAGATGACCACCAATTGTTCGGCAAGATTGGCCTGTTAATGAAACAAACTAAGATGACCCCGGCTGAGATTGCAGAACATTTGATGCCCAAGACTCTCCCTCCGGATCCTCAGGTGTGCTTGAACAGTCTAATGCAGAGCCTAGAAGCGGCTGTAGAACGTGCGAGATTGAAAGTTGGGGAAACTATCATTAAGAATACAGAAATCACTGCCATTGTTGAAGAAACCAAAGAAGAAAACAAGGGAAGCACTGGCCATACAGGATTGCAAATACAAACAGCATTACCTTTAGCTGCTGGAGAGCAACATGACAAAGAGCCTAGCACAAAACCTGTTGTATCTGATGATTAATAGTCTCCCTCTTAAAACCAATTGTTTGCCATTGTTAATATTTAGTTGACATGCAAATAGCTATTGGATTAATATGACATTTATTTCTTTTACTAATTATTCTCGTTTAGTTCGCAGTATGTGTTTCGTGCACAGTTACTCTTTATCATAATGTCTAATCTAGTTTTAGCACTCTGTTCGGGCTTTCGCTTTGGCGATGGCCGTTACGAATCTAAAAGGTTGTCAAGAGTTAATAGATGGGGAAATTATACCTGATCTCTGTCAGTTGCTTATACTCACTCCAATTAAATCAAACAAAAGTGATCTAAATCCTAAATGCTATTAGCTTAACAATAATTGCTAGGAATCTGTCAAACAAATGCTAGGAAGCTTTTATTTTGTGAGAAAAGCCAACTTGTGAAAGCAACCAAATGTCACCCGCCAGAAATGGCCGCTGTTTAAAGAATCAAACATCATAAAATTAGACTATCAGCAGCAACAGAAGTTCTATCTTGTATTCTTGAGAATCAAACACAAAAAGGTTTGAAATGTGTCCTGGTTTTCCTTTTCTTTTCGTGGGTAATAGCCTAATAGGGCTTTGGCTCCTCTAAAAGTTCATATTCATCAGGACTATGCACTAATCTCAGCATGCCTTCCCAATTCGAAGAACGAACCAGAGCAGGCCAAAATAACTCTGAAAGGGGCACTCAAAAGGTTCCTATACTCAGCATGTGCTTGATCCTTTGCAACATCCAGGAGCCATCAATCTATAATTTCATCATTGAAGAAGCCTAGGATCAAAGCTAAATCAATCCGACCAATGGCCAAAATGGTCACTCAAAGGTTCTATACTCGAGGTTAATAAAAGGCTAAAAGGGTTCATGCTACTCACAGTCTAAAATAGCTTGCTCTCCAAGACATTTCAGTGTCACTTCCTACGTCAGCTAGCTAGATAAAACTTAAAAGAGTAGACCAAATCGACTTTAATGTTTGATGCTACTCACAGTTTAATATAGCTTGCCCTCCAAGACATTTCTATGTCACTTCCTACGCCAGCTAGATGAAAGGTAAACCAAATCGGCTTGAATATTAGGTAAATAATTTAAGTACTCAATTAAACTACGTCCCTAGTGATTTGTCCTAATGTTAGAGATGGAAACTTATCGTCCTCACTATATAGGAAGAAAAAAAATAGGTAGTTTGTCGTAACTTGGCAGAAAAGGATGCAATAGCCGACATAGGTACTAGGCTGTACCTGTCATTCTCTGCACACGTATTGGCCACTCGATCCACGTATGTACTTGTAGTCTTGTACCCCAAAGTCGCCTTCTTTATATATTCAACTCCCTACAAAGATAACCCGTGAATCACACACCACAAGAGCCATGATTGATTCAGCGAGTTTCCTCGAAGAGAATAGAGGTAGTAGAGGAAGAGGGTTTAACAGGATGAAGCCAGGGGATGTTTTAACTCACCTGGGATCCATAGTTGCTAGTTTGATGTTCGTTTGGGCTCTGTTTCAGCAGTACTTCCCATACCAACTCCGCCACAACATAGATAAATACTTCCAGAGGGCCTTCTCCTTCGTCTACCCTTACATCCAAATCACTTTCAGTGAATTCACAGGCGAGCGTCTGATGCGCAGCGAGCTCTACTCCGCTATCGAGAACTATCTTAGCTCAACTTCATCGACCCAAGCCAAGCGGCTGAAGGCCGACGTACTGAAGAACAATCAGTCCTTGGTGCTTAGCATGGATGATCACGAAGAGGTTGCTGATGAATTTCAAGGGATCAAGTTTTGGGCTTCTGGGAAGAACATCTCCAAGAACCAAACGCTTTCTTTCTATCCAGTCAAGGATGAGAAAAGGTATTACAAACTGACTTTTCACAAGCGGCATAGGGATCTCGTCATTGGGCCGTATCTAAGCCATGTCCTGAAGGAAGGGAAAGCAATCAATGTTAGAAATCGGCAGCGGAAGCTTTACACCAACAATGGATCGCACTGGAGCCATGTGATGTTTGAGCATCCAGCAACGTTCGAAACACTCGCGTTGGAGGCAGATAAGAAGAAGGAAATTCTCGAGGACTTGACCACATTTAGCCAAGCGGAAGATTTCTATGCGAGAATCGGAAGAGCTTGGAAGAGGGGTTACCTACTCTATGGCCCTCCGGGGACCGGGAAGTCCACCATGATCGCAGCCATGGCAAATCTTCTGAACTATGACATCTATGACCTAGAACTAACCGCCGTGAAGGACAACACCGAGCTTCGGAAGCTTCTAATCGAGACCTCGAGCAAATCCGTGGTCGTGATCGAGGACATCGATTGCTCTCTCGATCTCACTGCTCAGCGAAGGAAGCCGAAGGAGAGCGAAGAAGCAACTGGCGAGCAGGATCAGAAGCCGAAACCGCCGAAGGAAGACAGGGAACCTAAACAAAGCCAAGTAACTCTCTCAGGGCTCTTGAACTTCATCGACGGGCTATGGTCAGCTTGCGGCGGGGAGAGACTTATCGTTTTCACCACCAATTACGTCGAGAAACTCGACCCAGCTCTAATCAGAAAAGGAAGAATGGATAAACACGTTGAGCTTTCCTACTGTAGCTTCGAGGCATTCAGAGTGTTGGCCAAGAATTACCTTCTGCTGGATGACCACCAACTGTTCGACAAAATTCGCCAGTTACTAGAACAAACTAAGATAACCCCGGCTGACGTTGCGGAGCATTTGATGCCGAAGACCGTCCCGCCGAATGCCGAGGTTTGCTTGAGTAGTCTGGTGCAGGGACTTGAAGCCGCCGCGGCGGAAGAGGAGGAGGCGAGATCGAAAGCAGAGGAAGAAGGAATGAACAAGGAGGAGAAAGAGATCAGTGCCATTGTTGAAGAAACGAAAGAGGAAAATTCTGCGAGCAAAGAAGAAAGCAAGTACAATCAGCAGTAGCTGGTCCCAAGTAGCATTTCATCTAACTGAGATCTTTCTGGACATTCACTTTCCTTCTAGCTTTGTTAATTTGAGCAGTAAAATGTAAGATTCCAGTTATTGCGGTTCTATCATCCGTTTGTCAGAACTCTTGAGGAGGATACATCGTAGATTCGTGGTGTCGATGGTTTCATATCAGTTTCGCAATTCGCACTGTGATTTGGGCCAATTCTCATTTTATGCAAAGCCCATCCAGTTTAAACCGTCAAAATAATGAAAGCGAGCTTGTGTGGCGGAAGATATTCTGCTCTAAAGACGAATAAGGCCCAACAAAAGCCCAAGTATCCATTAACCCAAGTGCCCATTAGGCCATTAAGACCGCTCAATACAGTAAAAATGCAAAATATATAAACTTTGGAGAGAAATTGTGTCGGTTTAGCAAGTGAAATTGTATGATCAGTGGTATAATCGATTTAATTTGTGTCGGTTCATGTCGACTTATCATAATACGACATTCCAAATAAAATAATAAGCATTCATTTAAATATAACATTTAACATCAATATCTACACGTTTATACCCGAATCCAAAAAATTACATCAACTTTTAACTTGTATATTTGTAAAGTATATAATAAATTGATCATGTCGGTCATACCGATGATAATTATATCAATTTCATGACCGGTATCGGCTGAACCAAATTCAACCGGCCAGCATCCCACTAGCATGACAACCATACACAGAACAACAATGTTTTGACTCATAGAAACCATATTCATCAACAAACTAAACCTTGAAAAAAAGGGGCATGAAATGTTCCATTCCAACCTTTGGAAGCGGTCATCATCATCCTCGTACCATAGAAAATGCTGCCAACTACACATATAGAAACAAACATATTTACTTATTGATCTACACTACTATTCAACGCATGGTGTGTGTGAAGATAGACAGATGACAGTCACTTACTCACTTTTCCTCGTGACATAATAGTTTCCTGGAAAATCCCCCTGGAAAATAGCCACCAGCCCCGGCCTTTTCCACGAATTGACCCGCATATAATAACAATACTAAACTAATTAAATAAAAAAAACAATTAGTGGTTAAACCTTCCAGCATTAACACAGCTCGGGGCTGTCTATATATGACGAGGAGAAGCATCCATAATCATTAGTTTATCATCTGTCTCTTTATATATATAGAGATGGAGGGAGAGAGGCATTGGTGAGGAACTATTGGGGAGAGATTGAGAAGAGTGAGACGATTGGGAGAGGAGTTGGGGGGTTTCTTGTCGCAGGAGAGATGGTTTTAACGCTGGTAGCTACACGGACAGAGTCCTCGCCGCCGGCCTGCTAGCTTCTTCCCACCACCGTGGCTTCGCCGGACGGTGGACTATATAGTAGTACTATAGCTCCATTAATTAAGACCATCCTCTGGTGACACGATACCCTCTCAATTTCTAGTCCACTACGGTACGGTAGCTAGCTAGACATGGGAAGGAGTACTGTAGGTGAATCTTTTCAGCTCTGCCTACGTTTCTTCTTTCTTCATCATCTTCTTCTGTTAATTGGTCTTGAATTTGCAGCTAGGGATGGCAACAAAACCCGAACCCACGGGTACCCACCCGACCCAATTCGGTCAACGCGGATAAAATCCGTGTTGACGGGTTTTGGGCCGGGTTCGGGTTTAAACCCGCTACACTATTCACCGGGTCGGGTTGTGTTTGGGTTTAGGTAAACCCGACCCATGGGTACCCGCCCACACACATATAATTACTTTTCCGGTATATTTAATATTCTAAATAATATATTTTCCTTAAGCAATTAATATTCTTTGTGCTTGTGGAGACATGTATAATTTGTTCTTTCTAATTGTTTAGAATGAAGTTGATATTATGAAGTGGAGAGTGAAGAAACTTAGTTGACGAGGAAGAAGCTTTCAATTAATATTTTGTTTATAGATGTTTATCTTTAATTTTGAACAATTTGTATTGATCATTTGCGGTTTGCTTGTATGCTCTAGATTGGTGTTTTTTTGTATGATTAATTTGTATGAGAAAATTGATGTTTAACTTTTATTTTGAAAGAAACTTGTTATTGTAAATTTTTTACCATAAAAACCCACGGGTACCCATGAACCCGCGGATACCCAGCGGGTTGGGTTGGGTTTGAGTTTTTCAAACCCAACGGGTTTTACCCCGGGTTTTTTTGGCGGATAAACCCATGGGTTTGGGTTTGACAAAACCCGCCCCAACCCGACCCATTGCCATCCCTATTTGCAGCACCGAAGGTAGATAATATGAAATTTTGTCTTTTTTTCTTCTTCTTTTCTTCTCCATGTCAGGCCAGGGATGGTTGGTGGGCCCAAAGTTCTTGGGCTCCAAGTTCTTTGGGCCATAGACTTCCGGGGGAGTGGGCCCACTCACAATATTCGACAAATTGCCAGTGGCCAGTTTGCCTTCTGAAGACTTGGAAGGTTTACTATTCACGTTGACTCTGGTACTCTCATTCTGAAGATTTGCAGGAAGAGATGGACTGGAACTGGAGAGTGGATTATAGCATTCACAATCGAAGCAAACGATGTTTAAGTATTCAAACTTGATCCGTACAATTCAAAATAATTTTATTTTGATTTTTTTTATCACTTCCTGCAAATCAGCTTAACCCTCTGAATTACAACAACTGCCCTGCCATCGTGCGTGCATGTTTGGGATGGAGGATAGATAGAGAAACTAAATGACCAGAAAAGAGGCTAGAAATCCACACAGCATTTTCTGGCAGGATTTCTGGCGACCAACACAACCCGGCGATTGTCTCCAAGACTACTACAGAGTCCATCTTAACGAAGAGGTAGAGGGTTGCAAATTTTGGGATGAAGAAGAAACGCCGGGAATAAAAGGAGATGCATCAGGAGTAGGAGCGAATCACGAGAAAAAAAAGTGAATCTGAAATGTCGATGCCACCCTAAACTCTGTCAACCGCCAGCCGTTTGACGAAGGGAAAACGCAGGGGGGAAAACGCGTTCGATGAAGCGACGATGCGAAGAGAGGATTCAACGGGTGAGATTAAACTTGAGGTTGTATATGGACGGCTATCCGCGTGACATATAGGAAAAGTACGCTACACCCGCCTTAAACGACAGCTTAGATAAATGGTAAGGATGAGCGACAACTATCCGTGCAGGCTACTTATGGTAGACTCGTTCGTTACCCACTGGACCCCTTAAGCAATTAGGCGCTATTTATATACTGATAACAACATCCAAATCGACGTGACTAAATTTCAGTTTCGTTACGAATATTGCAGGGAATTTCATTGCTCCAACAAATATATTTGTTCCCAATTAAATAATTTGTTAGCTAAATTTAGTAATATGCTCTTTTTCGTGAACCAGCTGAAGTTGAAGCGAATTTTTTTTAAAATATTTTATGATTTCATAGTTAACCATTGATAGACTCGTTTATATAGTATAAACTAGAAAAAGAATATACAACCAAACTAATTTTAGAATTGAACACCACATTTCAAATACATGTCATCAATCGTAATAGGTTCTAACTTCTAACTTCTAACAAATCATTCGAACTGTCTCAAAAATATTATACAAAATGTTTATCAAATTCAAACTAGTCATGTAAAGTCGACAAGGAAGCTAGGAAAAGTAAAAGTGAAAACGAGAAATAAAAATAATAATCAGAGTTGAATGATATTAGTTCACGTTATAGTTAAAGCTAGGACCCGGGAAAGCCCGACTTTTGAAAGCTGGGCCAAGAACCAATTTTTAAAATCCATTTTTAGAAAAAAAAAAGCCTATTAATCATTGTTAAAATAGTATACGTCAAATCGAGACGATACATATAATTACCAGCCCAACTATTAAAGACCATTTGATGTGCCCCTATTCGTACAAACAAAGAATTGTCCCTCCATTGCAATTGTTTTGACGGTTCACCAAATCAGCCAGTAATCTGAACCCGTTCTTATAATAAATTATAGTAAACGATAATTTTATATATGACGTTCATGTTAAGATTATTGAGTAATCACGATATTATCGCGCTAAGCAACCTGATGAACATACTAGTTTTCATCAATTCTGAGTGAATTCAGTGTAATATTCGCACTGGCATGATTGGGATTTCCGTCGGTTTGATAAGCTGATTAGTACGAGAGTGCTTTAGAGATTAGAGAACATATAATTGGTCCTTCATCTGCTTTATTGTAATCGGACATACAATAAATAAAAATGATGAAGAACAATCATATGTATCCTCCAACTAATCAAACAGCCCCTACGTAAAAATCATTGTTGGGGCCTGGGGTGTTCTTCCCTTCTTGTTTCACCAGGTTTTGGATCCTCTCGACGAAGCCGTTCACCGTTGCCAGCCCCTTTTCATCTGATGCAACAAAAGAAAGAAATCACCCACAAATTCAGCAATTATGCCTAAATAATTGCAATTGCACATACATCAAACAGTTACGAATCGCAAAGACATTAGTACAACTTTCTTGTCATACAAGGATTGTGGTCGAGTTCAAACGCGTGATTGAATTTTGGTAAAAGAGTGAATGAATTTACCAAGTCTGGGAATGGTATGTCCCCTAGGGTGATGAACCACCACAGCATCTCCACAATGTAACAGCAGTTCCTTACCATGTGGCTTCAAAAAATCCAGCTCCCCTAATCAAACCAACCAAAAAACAAATACAGTAAATTAGCCAGCCAGCCAACCAACCATCTACATCAGCACTTACGTCTGCATTAAATTAGTGTTCTCTCTCTATCTCTCTGCATCAGCAGAGGGTGACTGGTGGGAGCTCTGAAAGAAAAGAGAGGTAGGTAGGGAATAGGGATGGCAATCAAACCCATGGCCGCGGGTACCCGACCGCCCCCGACCCAGTCAACGCGGGGAATCCCCGCTTTGACCGGGTATGGGGCGGGTATGGGTAAAACCCGCAAAAAGTTTGATGGGTATGGGGCGGGTATGGTTTTAGCCTCCCCCGCCCCATACCCACACCCATACCCGCCCCACCAAGAGAATTTCTTCACATATCAAAAAATATGTGGATTAAATTGTAATCTATCAATGATGATGATGATAACTCGAGAAAATAAATAGTAGAAATGCAATTGAGTAACCACCTTAAACAAAACCTAATTCATTTCCCTCAATTCTCCTTCCACTCTTTCACTTTCCCCCTTGTCAACAAGATTATGTTAGTTAATTATTACTTAGTAAATGTATCAAGAGTTAGAGCATAATAATTTAAAAATATTATAGTCTATATTATGTATTAATGGATGTTTTAGGATCATATTCTTTGAATCGTATTTAGAAAATGACCATGTTTTGTTGACTTCATGATATATAGGTTTATTTATGGTTATAATTAAAACTTTTCTTGTAAGTTTTAGGTATAATAATGTTGGATATACGGGGATGGGTATTACCCATGGGTACCCGAAACCCACGGGTATGGGGATGAGTTTCCAAAACATTCCCCGCATGGGTATGGGGCGGGTATGGGTTTGGGTGTTTGAAGATGGGGATGGGGATGGTTTAGGCAAACCCGCCCCAAACCCGCCCCATTGCCATCCCTAGTAGGGAAGCACATTTGAAAGCTGTAACGGCCATTCCACTCTCACAGACGACCAGCCAAACAAATGCTCACCACTAAACAATTCACAGCTCAAAAAGGGAATCCCATGGATGAAAAAGAAAAACTTTACCGAGAAAGTGGAGGGATGGACACTGTATGGGAGAAGCGTAAGCGTCGTCGGCCACTGATTTTGCCTTGAATTTCGCCCCTCCGACTATTATCAGAAACTTGATCTTCGGCACTTTAGTCAGCGCCAAACCCTGCTCATTTTCATTGCAATCGCGACTATATCACAATCGTAGTCTCTCGTTTTCGAACTATCGTTACTTGTACAGTTTTCGTAACAAACCCAACAGCACACAGCACATGGAAACCATTTTTAAAAAACGTGGAAGGAAATCTAACCTTGGATTGCAGACCTGGAAGTCCAGCCGACAGAATTGCTCCCTGCCCCAAACAAATTTCGCATGCATTTCTACATGAGATGGTGCCCACAAGAACCAATTCATACAAACTTCCAAAAGGAAAAAAAGGAAATGGAAAGACTTGAACCTGTGAGAAACCGAGAAGGCCGTCAATGGGAGCATGCTTGATCATTAATTCCTCTATGTAAGCTAAGCACTCTTCAAAATTTCTGTACTCCGTGAACTCCTGCAACAATCAGCCCGGAGAAAGTTTTGAATATGGAAGAAGTTCAAGAAAAGACAAAAAAAGAAAAAAAAATAGAGGAATTGGGATTTTTAAGGGGTACCTTGTTGAATTGGAACCACTCGTAATAAGGAGGGTCGAAGATCCCTTCGACCTCTGATTTGCCCTCGGCGGGGTAAGGGGCATCGACGAAGACTAGATCGAGGTTCTGGAGGACGGATTCCGGCCATTTGATGGTGAGCTGCTTCTTCAAGATTGCTGCGCTGGTCCTGAACCCATGCAGGCACAGGAACCTGGGTTTCCTCGCCATCTCGCCTTCCGACCCCATTTCTTTATGCTTTGGACTTCTTGTTTCAGTTGAGAGGAGAAAACAAGAAAGAAAGGAAGAACACACCTGTAGAAGAAAAGAAGGACTGCCCTTCTTTTTCCCCCCTTCCTGCCTTTCCTTTTCTTGTTCAAATTGGATAGGTGAGGAAGAACGAACACGAACGAAGGAGGGAGGGAGGGAGGGAGGGAGAGAGAGAGACGGGGAGGGGGGTTCTGCTTCTGCAGAGGGAAGGAGGGAAACGAATATAAAGGCTAGAAAATTTCATATTTTTGTTTACAATTTATTTTAAAATAAAAAGAGCTTCTTTTGTCTTTTAAGAGATCTATTCTTATGATGCCTCGTGTAATACAAGAATCCTCATTAAAAAGAATAATACGAGAATCTTTCTGAATGAAGAGTTAGTATATGTTATTTTAAAGGAAGGTTTTTTATATATGAAATTGCCATATTTCTCATGTATATATCATATGCATAGATGTTTGTCATTTGTTTATCACCCATTTCGTACACATTCAATCCCTTTAACAACCCTATAGAAAGGAAACAGTTTGTTTTGTATGCTACTACAACCCGTGACCTCAATCTCTGGTTCAGCTGTGTCTAGATTCCCGCTGATGCACTTCCTGCAAATCAGCTTAACCCTCTAAACTACAACAACTGCCCGCAGCCTTGCCATGGTGCGTGCGCGTTTGGGATGGAGGATAGATAAAGACACAAAAAGAGGATAGAATTCAGCCTGCATTTTCTGGCAAACGGATTACCAACCAAGATGTGTATGTAGTAACATGCCAGTACAGTGACAGACCTTACATTAGAACCCTTCCTCTTTCTGGACCTATTCATTTTCATTCAGCAATCAGCATCAATCACGATTTTCATTGCTAATGTTACAGGGGGAGGAAATGATCTTGAACATGGAAGATATCACTAATTCCACACCGAAAACCAAAAAAAGAAGCAAGTTCTAGGGGTGACTAGTAACAGGTTATGAATGAGTTTTACCGTGATAATCAATGTGCAGAAGTAAGTCCCAGCTGTATCTTCCTAGTTCCTTCTCGCCATAGCCTTCCATCACCATGTATAACACCGTGAATTCGAGTGTACCTTCAGCTTCATCTTACCATTCGTTCCCTGTACCCAGTTTGCTGACATGCGCGATAAATGCTATCAAACTCTTTTCTTTTTTCATCATTTGCACTGCCTTGGTCGGAAATTCTCAGTGGACAGGAGAGACCCAATCAGCGTTTCCAGTCTTTTCGCTCCAGGGCCCGGTCTGACAACTGTGGTGTTACCGATGATGGAGCAGGGATCAGTTCCGTTCTCCCCTCGACTCCCAATGCACCAGCCACCAGGGGTGAACATGCCGGGACCTCTTGACAGGAGCTCTGAGTCTACTCTGTCGAGGACAGGATCATCCTGCCTGAACTTCCGAGCAAATGGGGCGTTACTCTCAACCATTTTGTCCATGTCAGCGATAGTCAGGTGGTGAGGATGTTGCTTCGGAGGGTTATCCCACGCGATGAAGTGGAGGTCACTATTTACAGTTGTGTTGCGGAACTCGAGGGCATTGCAGATGACTGTGTGGAAGTAGCCTTCTGGGGATGATATGAAGTTTGAGTAGTACATAAGGGTTGTTCGAGGCAAATTGTCCCAACCCCAGATTGTGTAATCGATGAATGGCCGAGAAAGCACCATCCATGCAGAACCTGTATACGAAATGAGAAACCAGCAGTTCATAAGTTCGGGAAAGGTTAGAAAGAATGATCCTTTGACCATTCTTGATGGCCGATTGACAATTGGGAAATCACGGTATGCAGAGTCCTATACTATTGAATTGAATTTGGCTCAGAGATGAAACATTGGACTTCACAAAATCACATCATTATTGTATATTTAAATTCTCTGCTGATTCATTTTGCGTTCTTGCAGTCCGTTGAGCAAGAAGTTGTTTGAGTAAAAAGAACAAGGATTTATGGGAAATAACCACTTTCATATTACCTTTCCTTTTCCCCTATCAATATCTCCATTCCGGAAGAACTGCTCCTGACCTTTGAAATGTGCCAGATTTCATCTAGGCCAGGTCCTATGGAATGAATCACTGGGGCTCCCATAACCAAGAACAAACCTTTGCTTGCTTGGCCAACTAAAAACCAGTGTTACCTATCTACCACTAAAGCAAGGCACCAAACACAAAGATCGTTTCGAATACTTCAGGCCCTCTTTCTCCCTACTTCTCTCAAACCCAATAATCAAGTGACTTGATAACCAGCACAAAAGAGAAACATGATTAACTATATGTAGGGACACTCTTTCAAAGATCCTTAGTGCTTCAACTTTCCCGTACCTCGGAATTCATAATCTATCTCACAGTTCCAACTTTAAAGCCTCCACCATTGCAGCACTAGGTTCAGTTCAGACAAACCATGAACTAAACTTTTCAGCAGCTAATCACATCTTAGTTCCAAAAGGATAAACAAGACAACTACACCCTTTGGAGCATTTACCAATAGTCTACAAAAACCAGGACAGAAATTGAAGCTAAACCTTACATGCCAACACAATCTAAATGCAGAAGAAGCAGATAACTAACAAATTCCGATCCAATTCGGAACAAAGAATCCATACCTGTGAAGAGCTTGAAAGCTGTCGGCACACTTCTCCGCTGTGTTATCCAGAAAACATCAGATTTCTTATTCATATACAACCCAGGATCGACTATAATCGGCTTTGCCCTCTGAACCCTGCCACATTTTAGCAAATCCAAATATCAAGAACAAAACTTGATACCAAAATCCAGCAGAAGAACAACCAACTTGGGAACCTCTTCACTCACTCTTTCCAGCCAATGTCGCTTGTATGATCGATGAAATTAAGATCCCTCGGCAGATAGGAAAACACGTGCAGCAGATCTATCAACCAATCAAAAACATATTCAAACGAGTTCATCACTAGATCACTGACCCGGCAATTCTGTCCAGAAAAAAGATAAGGAAAAAACTTACCGTCCTGAGTCACGAGTGGGTAATCGGAGGCGCTGAGATTAATAAACCAATCCCAATCGGACCCTTCCCTGAGCAAGATCGCAGCAGCGTGAAGCGTATTGGTCACCATGGTCGGCCCCCTGTAAGTGACGAGGTTTGCCTTGGCGATCATCTTCACATTGCCGAATTTCACGAAAACCCTATGATCCCGAACGAAATCGGCCAGATCCGCGCGCTCCTCCGGCGGCGATTCGGCGTCCAAGTGCACGACGTAGCGGTTGTTGGGATGGTAGAGAGCCAGCAAAGTCCTTTTGAGCATGTTCCCATCCCCCTTTGACCCCGAGATCAAGTAGGCGAACCGCGGCGGCGGAGGGAGAGTAGAGACCGGCAAAGGCTGCAGCTTGGGCTCCACGAATTTGGAGCTGAAGGAGTAGATTGAGCGGTAGAAGGGAAAGATAGGAACCCCGGCGGGGGAAGAGACGGTGGTGAGGAGTAGGAGGAAGAGGGAGAACAGGGAGCCGATCGCCAGTGGGAAGATCCAGCGCCGCCGGTCTGCCGACGCACCCTGGTGGTGCCGGAAATGACTGTAGTAGCTCTTCAACCGCTTCATTGGGAAATTGGGTTGCTGTTTAGTTTCCTTACCTAGAGAGACGAGCAGTAGGGATTAGTAAGGAAGAAGAAGCCGTTTTTTTTCTTCTTCAATTTTTGGTTATTCAGATAAAAATGTATTTTGGGTTTCGAATTTGTTGGAGGTGGGAAGATGGTGGGCTTCGTGGGTGGGAGGTTATAAATTAGGTAGAGAGAATGGGGGAGGAAGGCGGTGGCCTGCCGGCGACGGTGATGGCGACGGCAGCGGCGGAGAGGAGAGAAAGGGGGAGGGAATAGCGGCAGAAGAGGAGTAAATGGTATTAACTGGTATTTTCAGATGAGGGAAGACGACATTTTAAATTCTTTTTTCCATTGTTATAGAGAAAAAACAAAAAAGGAGTTTTAAATCTAAAATCTCCTCTACTTCGCTCTTTCTTCCTTTGTTTTTCTTTTATCTTTTGGGATTTTGGTTTTGTTTCCGAATGGAATTTAACAAATATATAAATATAAGATTAATTAAGGGAATGGATTTGACCTCTCTGTTAATTATTACCCGACTGTAATTTTTGGGTTTTATGAACAGGGAGGATGGGTGTTGGGATGTATAGTTACCAAGACAATGGAGTTAGTGAATACCATTGCCGTTTTCTCTTAACCCCCCATTGACATTGATTCATGTTCTTACATTTCGCCAATCCTAGAATGACTTAATGGAACTTGAAATAGGGAGCTCTACTTTAATTTGAGAGCCTATTAGTATTAATGTGGATATTTAATGAATTCGGGTTGTGATTGATGATGTTCGGTATGCATATCAATTCTAAGGTCTATACCCTAAATATAATCAATTGCATTGTGAGAAGCATTGAATCGACGCAAGGACCACAATCAACAAAAGTAACTGAACAAAACAAATTTTTTTATAGGTGAGTTTGATTCCAAAAGCCAAAATATTATATTTCATGTATGTTCATGTTATCACAATAGGCGAAACCTTGAAGTTCATCATGCCAAACAATTCTCAATTGATCAAATACATCTTCACGTTATCGTTAAACAAAACATAAAAAACTATGCATAATTTTTACAAGGAAAGAATCTACCACTTAATGGGAAAACGCCATCCATGCCATCCAGAACTTGTGTGTGTGGATAACTGGATATACACACGTGTGTTGTATAGTTATTGTCAATCAAACAAAGTATGAGTTTAAATTCTCGTCGACATTGTTGAGCCCGAAAACAATCCATGGAAAGAAAGGATGAGAGAGAGAGAGATCAGTTTTTGGAAATAGTGACTTGCTGTGGCCTGTGGGTATGCTGGAACCAGTTGATAATCTATCGTTTCTGGAAGAAGAAGAGGAAGAATCTACTGGAACCAGTTTTTAGCCTGCCATACGCCAAAACTATCGTCTAAAGAATCGGGCCGTGAGAAATGAAGGAAGAATTCAGAAGTAGAACTTCTTTTCTTCCCAAAATTCGACATACGTCTCTGGTGGGTGTCACAGTGAAGTGGTCAACCAATGGCCAATGAACATTCTGATCCCATTTAACACGGCCGAGAGAAGAGAAGAAAATTGGGTACCCTGACGTGCATCATGGCCATGACTACTACGAGTTATATTCTCCAATAACTAATTCCTGACCTCGACAGCCGGACAGACGCTTATGTCAACGGAACTTCTTTCTTCTACTCTTAACTGTATCATTTCATGTAACACGACGTGAAAGTCTTGCCTCATTTTTCTCAGAAATGACGACTCTAAGCTGCCCTTCAAGATCACATCGCCATAATTGATCGCAAAAAGGTTCGCAAACAAAGGGACTTCTATACACTTAACCCCATCAACCAACCATACATACCTAACTCATCCCTTCCCCACACCATTTGCTTATAACCTAATCATAGCACAAGCAAGGTATCGGCAATGGAGAGAGAGAGAGAGAGAGAGAGAATAATTACCTTCACAGTTTTTCTCTCGTTTTCCACAAGTCCTGCCGCTTGAAGGCTCCACACCAAGTTTGCCCTCCTTTATGACATAGCTGAACAGAAGAATTTGAGCAACTTCCACTACTTCACATTCTAAAACACAGGGACAGAAGAAGGATTTACAATAGCATTACTCACAAGTCACAACATATAGAAATGTATAAGATTCAGCAAAACATCAGAGGACCCCCATTTCAATTAATGTGGTCATAAGTTCCCGACATTGCAACCGCCCTCATTCGGTTCATGATCCTCGATGCATCATTCAGTCTGTTTGCCCTTTCAAATATGCCGGCAACAACAAGATGCAATTCCTTCTTGTTGACGTTAGGATCGGAGTCCAGCTTCTCGAATAGGGATTCCACTGCAACAAAATCCCTCCTTGCACCGTAGAGACTCAACATCTGGAAGTGGACTTCATCTGGGAACACACACCCTTCTTCTTGCATTTCCGCATAAACAGCATCTGCCATATCGAATTCCCTGAGCTTCCCATATGCATTCAGGACTAGAGCAATCACATCAGAGTCGGGGAAGTATCCAGCTCCTCTCATCTTCTCAAACACCTCGATCACATTCACGTGTTTCTTGTTCCTGGAGAAGAGATTAATCAAGCATCCGAAGACAGAAATGTCCTTAACCTCCCCTGCATCAAAAGCCTGCCTGAAGACCCATGTTGCCTCTTCTATTCTACCAGCTCTAGCGAGAATTTTGATCGCGGTGTCCCTAGGGATATTATCGGGTCTCTTCAGTTCATGGAGGAGACGTTTGGAGTGAGCAACCAACCCTGCCCTCTCATAAGCCACGATCATGGTTTGGTAGAGTACAACATCAATCTCAGCCCCCGAACTCCTTAGCTTCTGAAATAACATTGCCGCCCTGTCTAATTTTCCTGCCTTTTCCCAGATGGAAATGATTGTCGAGTAGGTGATGGGGTTGGGCTCAATACCTTTCTTCTGCATTTCCTGAATGAGATTTGTAGCCTTCTCATGCTCGAGCGTTTTGCCATAAATATTGATCATCGTGTTATAAGTGACAACGTTTTGCTCAATGTCTTTTCTCTGCATCAATCTAAATAGATGGATAGCCTCCCCGAAAAGCTCGGCTTCTCCATAAACCCTCAAAAGCGTGTTGTAACTTACTACAGTAGGTTGGATTCCCATCTTCCTCATGCTCCAAAACAACCTATCTGCTTCTTTAGCCATATCGAGCTGTCCATAAACATCGATCATGATATTACACGTCGTGAGATCAAGTGGGCACTTCACCTCATTCATCTCAGCAAATACCGACAATGCCTCAAGAAACTTGTCATTTTCTACATAAACAGTCAACAGAGTAGAGTAACTAACGGTATCAGGAATGACCTCCACATCCCTCATTTCCTTCAACAACATCCTTGCTTCCCTAAAAAGCTTTGCCTTCCCAAACACATTGATCATCGAGTTATACGCAACCAAATCTGGGGTAATCCCATTCCTTTTCAACCTCATAAAGATGGAGATAGCCTTGGAGTAATCACACAACTTCCTAGCAAGCTCAATCAAGTTACTATACAACACAAGATCACCCGACACCCCGTCTTGCTCCATCTGTTGAAGCCAGAAAAGGGATGAATCAAACTTCCCCGATTTCCCAAACTCGGTGATGAGGGTAGAGTAAGTATACCTATCTGCCGCCAAACCTCGCTGGCGCATTTCGTCGAACAGCCCGTGTGCAAGCTCCCATCTTTTCGCTCTCAACACGTTCCTCAACACCACGTTGTACGCAAACACGGACGGCGAGTACCGAGCCACCTCGTTGATCCAATCCAGCAACGCGAGCGACCTCTGCCAATCCGGTTCCCGCGAGAGGAGCGAGACCATGAAACGAATCGAAAGTTGCCTGTCGTTGTACGGGGACAACAAGCAGTACAGTTCCTGCTCGTTTCGGGTTTGCCTGATGGAAGAAAGGAGCTCGCTCATGTCTATGGTGCGGTCCAAGAAAATCGGGTCCTTGGTTTGTCTTCTCGTTGGGTTTCTGGTCCATACATCTTTCCTGGTCGCGCCGGAGTGGACCAGGTGGGCTCCGGCCCCGGCGGTGGTCGTAGAAGTCGTGGAGGCGAAGGCATCAATGCGTGATTTGGGTATGCGTATAAGGAAACCGGAGAGGATTGAAGTAGATGGAGGAGAAGAAACGGAATCAATGGATTGCAGAGCAGAGATGGAGAGGGAGGACATTGATGGGGTTTATTTTACAGGTCTCGCCAAAGGAGAAGCAGATTTTCCTGCCAGATGGCGGGTAATACTTTCTTTCAACCTATCGTGAAAATAATCCGTTATCATGGACCTCATGGGCTGGGTCAAGGTCAGAGGCCCAACTACGATTGATCCAGTAGATTAGGCCTCGTGAATGATTTAAACTGGTACATCTTGGGCCAGCGACAAACCATTCCATTGCATTTCCGTGTTCACTCAAATCCCAGTATCTGATTCCATTTACAAAGATGACATCCTGATTGTGATCAAGAGAAAGAGGACCAACTGCATGATAATGGAGGACCTGAGACCTTGTCCAGAAGCAGAAGAGCGAGGAGTAGGGGAAGAGGGCGAGCCATGAAGAGTGGCATTTTCTTTTGGGCAGACGAAGTTGCAGCGACTGGGACGGGCGATTCTGTACACACCATTGCTGGCCAAGATGAAGACGTCTTTCCTGTTGTCCTCTCCAAAGCTGAATATGTAACCAAGCGAAGGCAGCGCACTAGTCCCTGCATCGGACGAACACGCAACAGGAGAGTCGTGTGCGCATTTTACCTCGAGAAGGTTGGTGCTGAAGTTTCCACTGTCGTCTGGGTTCTCCGTCCCTGCCCACACGTTTCCACCGTACAAATCAGCATAAAGGTACCTGAAGGAAAAAAAAGTAAAACACAATACTGATTTAGTTGAGCTGAGTTTGGTCAACCTCAAATTTCAGTAGCGAATGTGGTGATGAAAGTTGTTCACAAGCAATGTGATATCGGTTGAGCAGCTTGGAATCTAAACTGTGCTAAGGGTTGGAGTTTGAGCTTCCGTACCTTCCATACATACATGGGTCGATAGTTGAGCGGTAGAAATAGCCACCAGTGATGGAAGCAGATCCAGTTTCAACTTTATTGACCTCAGAGTGATTGTACCCCATCACAGGAAAGATTGGGTTCATGGAGCTTTTCATGGTAGATGAATTCGCCGTCACCTTTGAATTTGTGTCGTTGTAAATGAAAGGCCCTTCATAAATCCGCCATCCATAGTTCCCGCCCTTGCTCACAAGGTTCACCTCTTCAAACATTTCCTGTTATATCAAACTCCCCCTTCATCTCGCCAGTTTTCCCATGTAACTTGAACTACAAGGCAACTATAAGGAAAATGCAAGGCTTACCTCGCCAACATCGGCACAGAGGAAATATGAAGGTCTAGTTGCATCAAAGCTACATCCCCAAGGATTGCGAAACCCCATTGCCCAGATTTCAGGTTTGAAATCCTTATCTTCTGTAAATGGGTTATCTCTAGGGATGGAGTAATTCCCCCATAAACCCAAGTCATTTATTACTTTTGCACCTACAGTTCAAGAATACCAGGAACATCTTGAGTCATGAAAACAGTAAATAATGGCATAAGATAAAGATTGAACTGTTCAAAAACAGCTCACTTGCTACATTGTCAATATCAAGCCTCAAGATCTTCCCAAGCAAAGACTTCTTCTCTTGTGAAAAATTTTGAGGATCGCCTTTGCTTCCACCATCCCCCATCATAAAGTACAAATATCCATCTTCAGGTCCAAACAGTATTTGACCACCATGATGTGCACTGTAAGGAAGCCCCATTGTCAATATTCTCCTTACTTTCTGCGGAAGTAACCTCATCCCCTGCATTTACCAACCCGATGCAAAGTAAAAAATTAGAACAAGACATAGTTAAACAACACAAGAAGACCTTTTTTCCTTCTATACCGTGCTCGGAGGTTGCAATGCAGTACCATTGGCACTGTACTCAGCTACAACACTATGGAATTGACAAGGCAGTCCTCCATCTTTTGAAGGAAGCAGTGAAGGATCACAACCGAAATCTGAGTTACACGAGCATCTCCCTGAGCATCCGGGTGATGTCACCTTATCACAGTTATATGAAGCGAATAATCGGCCATTCTGTTCAAACTCAGGATGGAAGGCTATCCCCATCAGCCCAAACTCGCTGTCGAAATGTACCTGATCAGTCAGGTCAAGAAACGGATTCGATTCATCGAGCTCCAACACTTTCCCAGACCCTTCTTCTGGCAGAGTCGCCAGCCAAATCTTGCCGGACTGGCTTGCCAGAAGAACCCGATTTGACCCATCTGGCAATGCAGTCATGTCGAGGTATGACCCGTTGGCAATTTTCTCCAGGCAGATTCCGCTTGAAGGTAATGTTCCTGGTATATTATTGTGCTTCAAAACTGGCCCTCCTCCGAAACATGTTGTGTTAGCCCCTCCAAATGCACTGCAGAAACCAGTCTCTGAATCCCAGAAATCAGTCAACATGGTAAAGGACTTTCCTGATGCTGCACCAGCTCCCCCGCTCGGAGCAAATACAGAGTTTGATACTGAGACATTGTGACATTGATTCCAAACTTCAGAGCAATAGGCATTGCATAGGTTGGGTACCAACTGAGGTACAGATCCAGTCCCATATAACTCTGCTGAAAATGGATCACATCTCTGCCACCCCAGAAAGTTCACAACCAGAAAATCAAGTTGTTAGGAAATGGAAACTATTTTGTAACAGAAGAATAAAAATTACATGGGTAGAACTTAGAAGCTACTACTCACTGAGCAAAGTATGGATTTGATGATGGACGCACAACGTGGAGCGGTCGGCACATTCATTGCATTGAACTGGTTCTGCAACTGAAGATCACGAGTGGAGTTACAGCACACACTTCCATTGTACTGACAGAAGCCAAGAGAGGGTTTTGTAGTAAATGGTTCTCCTATTTTCCGAACCAAAATAAACCCAAAAAGAGTATGATTGATCAGAAGACAAATATGAGAAGAAAATGCACAAAATGGCAAAGAAAGACACTTACTTGAATCAGTACACAATGGATGGGTGTAGCCATGTCCAATTAGCAGTGCAAAGAAACAGAACCAGAAAACTATGGCCACAACACCGCCCATCTCAAAGGAATTAAACAAGGAAGAAAAAAAAAAAAATCAAACCATGGGATCAATTTACTGAGTTTGAGAAGTTCTTGAAAATATGAAGAGGCCCAGAAAATTGTGCAGTCAACTCATTGACCATATTGGTTCAAATAAACTAATAACAACTTGGTGGACGTGAAATCTAAATATTATATCATCCCAACGAGTTTGTCTGTCACTATAGGACAGACACCTCGGATTTTTCTATTCCAAATCCAGAAACAGGAGCTTAGCTTAGCTGATAAACAAAATCACAACTGTACAGTTAGGGTAAGGGTGCAAATTCTCTGACCAGGATTAGTTGACTTTAGTTGAATGATTGAGAAAATGGGGGGAGGGGGAAAAGCTTACCAGAATGAGAATGGATGGAGGTGGAACGACTTAATTCTTCAACTTGACATATATAAAAGATATTGAGGCTAGCAATATCATATCATATTATCATTCCCTCAGAGTTGACTTCAAATTTATTTAGTGATGAGAAAGAGGGAGATAAAGGAGCCAATTTCACCCCCATTGTAACTACTGTGTTATTGTATACATACCAAATGGGACATCATAACAGAAACTTATGCTTTTTTCTTTCAAAATCTTGTTCACATTGCATGGTATCAACGTTTCACTTCTAGTATTCATGAGTCAACCAGTAGTATATACTCAAGACGTTTACATCAGAGGAACCATAATACAATCTGAGCATATCATTTCATCTTGAAGCAAGGCAATCTTAACCTAAACCACATTGAACATTACCATTCTATCTAGTCTATCAGTCATGTTAGTCAGTCGTCTGTCAAAATTTTTGCTGATCCCAGTTTGTGAATCTTGAAGATCAGGTAGAGCTGTGCCAGCAAATGGCATTTCCCATACCTGCCAAATTACAAAAGTTATTCAAGGTGAAGGACTTTTGCAAAATGATTAGATTATAGTCAAACCCATTTAAGTAATGTGGAGAAACTGTAACGAATATGCACCAAAGTGCTTAGTAATTACCTTTTTTCTCAAGGTACTACTTACAACAGCTCTCATTGTCATGCAACAACAAGAATGCTTATTATTGGTGGAACCCAGTAACAAATCTTTCAATTCCGGCAAAATCAGGCACTATGTTGAGATTGCAGAAGCTGCCAGAGATTTCTCTTTGAATGTACTCTACTAGATACTTGCATTGCTCTTCACCATTTGTCTGAAGCACACGACAAAAAGTAGATAAGGGGGATTAACATAATCAATCAGATCTCAGTATACAGGTTATAGCAAGGAGGACCATACAAATAAACTCAGTAACAGAGCAACAGTTATCTCAGACTTAGATGTGATAGCAGGTATGGCCTTGATACAGACCTCTCTAATAAAGCATATTATAACAGCACATGAATGATACTTCCCAACTACTGAAAGCAGAGAGAACTATGGATTGTCAATTAACTTGCCTCAAAGGCAAAAAATCCACCAGCTCTCAACATTTTAGCAGCTCCAGCGGAAAGCAGGAGAACACTATCCATGCCACAATCACCACCATCTAATGCAAGCTTCGGTTCATGTCTGTCAACTTCAGCTTGAAGGTGGGGCATATGGTTGCTTGGAATATAGGGTGGATTACTCACAAGACCTGAAAGTTTTCCTTCTAAATTCCCCAACGGCTCAAACCAAGAACCTTGTCTCACCTCAATCAGGTCCTGTTTTCAAGATGAGAATTAAACCTTTGAGGAAATGCAGAAATCGACTGGATTGTAAGTAGCTAAACTGGGAACAAACAAATGACATTATAGTCCAAACATGAAAGGAAGTATAGAACTACAGCAAATTTTGGAGAACGTCGAATTCTAAAGCAACTCGGCAAAACTAGATGCACACTGACCTGGAGGCTATACCTCTGCACATTAAAGTTGGCCACAGAAACTGCAAGCGGACTTACATCCGTGGCAATGACACTGCCAGAACTCCCCAAAACCTTCCCAATTCCAATGGCAAGAGCGCCACTCCCAGTCCCCAAATCTGCCCACATCCCATTTCGCAAATCATCCGTTCTAGACACCAATTCCTCCACCAAGTCCACAATTAGTTCAGTCTCTGGCCTCGGAATCAAAACCCCTTCCTGAACACTCAGCACCAAATCTCTCCAGTGCTCACACCCAACAAGATACTGCAAAGGCCTCCTATTCTCGATCCGGTCTTTCCACAAGTTGTAAAGATCATCCAGACTGGCCCTCAGCTTGACATTTTCACAAACACCTTCCTTGCTTGCATGTCGTAACGAGGAGGGATGTTCAATTGCGTCCTCTAAAAGCCAGTTCAGTTCTCTACACAGGAGGGTTGAATCAGGGCCATTGTCCGCTTCGACAAACGACGACCCAACTGAGGACGCGAGAGTTTTGGCCCATTCATGCCATTTCTGGAGCTGGAGCGAAGTTGCGGCATGAATTGGTGGCCTCTCGAATAGAGGGATTTGGGGCTTCGGCACTACCGTTGAGAGTTGCCGCGGCGCAGAGCAAATCGGCCGGGAGTGGAAACACGCACGGGCGAAGCTTAGTTGCATAGCTAAACACACTTCCTCCTCGACAAGGAATTTCTCGCTTCGTGATTTTCCGGCGGGCAAAGCTGTGTGCGCTTCGAAGTTAAGATAACTTAGCCAGTTAACCGAACCGTGAAATGTTTCGAGCTTTGAGGGCTGAAGTGGCGGGTGATACTTTAACGGGGTTAAATTTCAATTTCATCCAAATTGACGGGACTAAATTTCAGTTTCGTCCAACTTTGACGAGTGTTGTAGGGAATTTCATCGATCCAAAAAATACATTTGTTGGCTTCATACCAATAAAAAAAAATTGTTGGCTAAATTTCGTAATATGCTCTTTTCGTAATCGGACCGAAAATTGAAGTAAAAAACATAATATTTTATGTTCATATAGTATAAACTAGAAAATAATATATATAACACATTAATTTTAGACCTTTTCTCGGAGTATCTGATTTTCGCCTGGTATCCTGAACCGAGCTTTGCCTGAGTTGCCTCGGACTAAGTTGCTGGAAGTTTACAGGGCAATAGGAGCTCGCCGAATTTCTGAGTCTGTGCAGAAGAAAGAAGAAAACTCAGACACCAATAGTCAGACTTGGTCAGGAAAGAAAAGGAAAACAAGGAGTCGAGAACTCAGACAGCTGAAACCAAAGGACGTTTCTGTTGGGAAAGAGCTAGTGAAGATCATACTCGCCTTTCTAGCTGATCCAACTCTCAACATGGAAGCAAAGGAGAGGCACGAGAAAGTGAAGGCCCTCCTTAACGTGACAGTCTTGGAGATGGTGGAGCCTCTGAGTGTAAGCTACAGCTTGACTTTATCTTCAGGGGAAGTATTGAGAAAGGTGAAAGCCACAGAAATGGTTCGCTGGGACAAGGACGATGACAAGTTGTATGTACAGAGAGTGGAGAAGAAAACTGGTAGCAGCAGCAGGAGCAAGATGAGTCTGATTGAATTTGCTTGTCGTTTCTCTGAAGTAATCGCTAAGGGGATACTTTGGGATAAAGAGGATCACCATGTAAAGGAGCTTTCCGGGATAATCAAACTGGCTTTTCTGCTTGACTTCGATGAAGCAACTGTTGAGTTCCTGATGAAGTTAAATAATCTTCAGATCTTTGTAGAAGACGAGGAATTCCTCTCATCTGCTTTTCCTCCTCCTAATTAGGTGAGCTACAGTACAATCATTTCATTTCACTTACTATTCTTTGTTAGCTTATTTTGTGTCTGATCTGTTTTGCTCATACAATGTGATCTATGTGTCTATTTGTATGCTTATGGGGTTTTTTGTTCCCGAGTTTAGAAAATTGTGAATGCTGGACATGACATCCTAAGTGAGGTTGCTACTTTGGCATTTGATCATGTTCAATAGTCCACATTGTTATTGTCGGGGAACCCACTGGCGAGAACCGGCTTCTAGTCAAGGTACCATTCCATAACCAAACCATCACCTTAATCACACATCAGTCTTGCTTTCTTTATACATATCATCGTATGTAACCTTTTTCTGTTTCGTCCATCAAAAGGTTTCTTCGTTTCATGTTTCGCGGAGTACCTAAACTTTAATAAAATTGTCTTTCGGTAGATGTGAATGTGATTGTGAGTGTTGCAGACCTCATGAATAGCAAACATCAAGCCTTGTCTTCTACCTATTGCATGTTAGCTTAATGCTCCTCTTCTTTTTGTGTGTGTGTGTGGTGGGGTGGGGGTGGGGGGGGTCCTTGAGTAGTAAGCGTGCAGGGCCTATAAACTATGCTGCATATTCGTTTGATCTCATTCTTTTTTTCTTTCTTCTTCTTTTGATACTGGAGTATGGTTTGAACTTGGTTCCCTCACTTGTTGACCTGTTGCTTGGACTAATTTGAAGGAATGCGTTCATTCTTTAGCAGCACATGCTGAATCGTGTGGGTATATCTTGTGTTGTGTATTTCTGCCCCTTCTAGGAGTGTACATGGGTCGGGTGGGTTGAATTTTGACCACTTTAGTCACCCAGCCCATACACTGTGGTTTACACATCATAAAACTCAAACCCGCCCATTAAAATCATAACCCAGTGGTTTGGATCGGTTCGAATTGAAGTATAATCCCAAACAAAACTGAACCAAATACGGGATTTTTCCAGAAATAGCACCTTTAAAAAAAATTACAAAAATAGCACCCATCCGTAAAAATTTCCACTAATAGCACCCTTTTTAATATAACGCACCTTGTAGATGCGTTTTACATATAAATCGCACCCTATAAATGCGTTTTAAATATAGATCGCACCCTACAAGTGCGTTCCAAAAATCTGGAATCAAATCGCACTTTAGCCAAGCGATTTTAGGTCTGACCTAATAAAATCGCATGGCCGAGGTGCGATTTTAGGTCTGACCTACTGAAATCGCATTGCCAAAGTGCGATTTTATGTCTGACCTAGAAAAATCGCATGGCCGAGATGCGATTTGGTTCTGCCAGACAAAATCGCACCATGAGGATGCGATTTTAACATGCAAAACGCACCTTAAAGGTGCGGTTTTGGTCAATCAATATCCGACATCCATACAGACGTTACAGACGTGGATCTGCATGGAAGACGAAAATCGCATCTCTAAGGTGCGGTTTTCATCAAGCTTTTGCCTATAAAAGGCCTCCCGGACAACCATTTCTCTTCACACCTCTCCTTCTCCCTTCCCTTTTCAATTTTCTGTTGTAGCTCTATATTTCTAGTAGTTTTGCGATTAACGTTAACTCGTAAGTTGATTTAGTATTACATATTTCTTTAGTAGTTTTGCGATTAACGTTAACTCGTAAGTTGATTTAGTATTACTTTTTATTGTTAATTTTTATTTTTGATTTTTATGATATTAACTTAACTACGGTTTTATCGCAGATGGCATTCCAAAAGTTCACGCTTGGCTTACGGTGGAATGGTTACACGGAAGAGACCGGAAAGGGTGCCACCTACGTAGGTGGCAATTTTCAGAAGATAAAAGTCGCTACCAGACCGCTGCTTGAAGACCTCCATCAAATGTGTACTAACGTTACTTGCATGGATGGCACGAGAAAAGTTGATCGTATGGTGTACCGATATCCAAACAGAGAAAGTGGGTCATTGTGGCATGAGGAATATCTCATAACCACTCAGGATGAGGTAGACGCCATGCTCGAATTCATGAGGTCCAACAATCTTTCCAAAGCCGAGATGTTCGTTTACACCGAGCCGGTCGTAGGCGTTGGAGGTCATTCTGGACACGGTCAAACATCTGGTATCCATGGTGGAGGTGAATACTATGGGGATCATCCCTACCAAAGTTACCATGATCCTAATTCATATTTTCAGTACCAAGAGCAAGGTGAAGGTCATCATCAATCATATGAAGAAGAAGTTCAACCGGACCGGCCCAACCAACCTCAGTACAACTTCCTCTCAGGCAGCGGTAGTTTTCACAACTACCATTATGGAGCTGATGAAGGTGCCTTTCATGAGCTGGATCAGATGGAGGATGTCATGGCAGCACCAGTCAGTGACCCCTCCGATGAAGAAGGAGAGAACAACGTCAGTGCAGACAGCTCCGACCCTCTTGAAGGTGCCGATGATTCCGGACCAGAGTCAGACTCAGCTAATGATGATGAGGGGGCTCGTGACCGTGTACCAGTCCCCTACTACAATCACATTCCAGACGACAATTGGATGGTCGACAGCGACATGGAGCCGCCAGAGGTCCCAATATGGGGTCCACTCACTGGGTTTATGAAGGGCCAACAATTTGGCTCGAAGAAGGATGTGCGTCACGCCATTGAGACAGAAGCAATGACTCAGCATTTTGAATGGCTCACAACTCATTCCAACACTAAAAGGCTCTTAGTCAGATGCCGTAATCATCACGAGGGGTGCAATGTTAGGATTCGGGCCATCAACAGCAAGAGACACGGTTGCTGGGTCATATCCCGTGCGGTGAACACACACACATGTGTGTCATCCATAACTTCCCAAGGCCATCGACAGTTGAAATCCAGGGTGGTTGCTGCGGCTATCAAGCATCTAATTGAGCAAGAGCCAGACCTAAAGGTGAAAGTCATAATCGCTGACATTGCAAGTCGTTATGGTTATATGATTAACTATAAGAAGGCGTGGCATGGAAAGCAGAAAGCTCTGGCCGCCGTCTTTGGTGATTGGGAAGAATCGTATGCATTCCTTCCCAAATTAATTTTGGCATTGGAGGTGTCTAACCCTGGCACGGTTTTCTCCCCTCTATACCAAGATGAAGAGATACAACCCCCAGAGCCAGGTAACAAGCGCCATTTCATACGACTTTTCTGGGCATTCAATCCATGTATTGATGGTTTTGGCTTCTGTGTCCCTGTCATCCAAGTGGATGGAACATTCCTTACCGGCAAGTACAAGGGCACTCTCCTGATTGCCAGTGGGGCGGATGCAAACAGACAAGTCTTTCCTTTAGCCTTCGCCATCGTTGAGGGAGAGAATGTTGATAGCTATGGGTGGTTTTTCCGGCAAATCCAGATCCATTGTACTAGGAGGACGAACCTTACAATAATCTCTGATCGGCACGCCGGCATTAGAGCTGCCATCTTAGGTTTAGATCCAGCCTGGAAGTGGTCCCAAAGGTGGTGCATACGACACTTCAAGAGCAACTGGAACCATCATTTCAAGCGGAAGAAGCTTGCTGATAATTTGTGGTGGATTGGTAAGTTTGTAATTAGCCGTATAATTTAGTTCCAATTACAATATCTTAGTACGTTTGGCGAGTGGTGCTCTGGTTAGACTCTTTCTAAAGTGATGCATGCCTAAGAAGATGGGGTTTTAAGCGATTATCATGATCCTCCCATTTCCTTGGAAAATCGGGTTTTAAGCGATCTTCGGATCCCCCCTTTTTTGTCAAACAGGCTGTGTTTCTAAGGAGATGTATACCTCTCCTAAGAGTCTAACGAGAGTAACTCCGGGTATTCGAATTTGTACTAAATTGCCAAATTTTGACTAACATACTACTTTCTGTGTCTTCCTCAGCAGTTGCCTACCAAGAAAAAAAATTTCTGGAGAAGATGCAGAAGTTGCGCGAGTTATGCCCTGAGGGGGCACAGTGGTGCACTGGACATGACCTATCCATGTGGACATTTCATAAAGATGGAGGGACAAGATGGGGTATTGCCACAACGAACTCAGGTGAGAGTATCAACTCTGTCTACAAGGCCGTTCGTGCACAGCCAATCTCTGCCATTGTGGAGATGACTTTTTGGAAAACGAATGCATGGTTCGTCAACCGACTCCACTGGGCCAGAACGAACGAGGCACAGGGTAAGGTCCATGCCTATAAAGTCATGGAAGTAATGGAGAATGACAATCGCAAGAGCAGTCGACATAGTGTAACCGTTATGAATCGGGCAAATGGCGAGTATAGCGTGACGACCGGGCATCGGGAGGACAGTAGACGGGGGGGACACCTCCATGAAGTTGTGGTCAATTTCAGGACAAAAGTTGGTGAGTGCTCATGCCAGAAGTATCAAGGTAGAGGGTGGCCTTGTTCTCATGCAATGGCCGTAATTAAAAACAGGAGCAAAGACCCACGTCACTTCGTTAGTCCGTTCTTCAATATCGACTCACTCAAAAACACCTATGGACGAAGTTTTCGTGCATTGCCTGATGAAGTTTATTGGCCGATGTACGAAGGAAAATTGATCATCCCGCCGTTCGGACAGAGGCGTGAGCCGGGTCGCCCGAGGAAAAAGAGAATTCCAAACGAAATGGATCAAAGTGGAAGACCACCACGGGGCCCAAGACGATGTTCAATATGCAAAGTTCCAGGACATGATAAACGAAGATGTCCAGGCCCGATTGGTCTGCAAAATCCGGGTCCTGATGTGCCGGAATCAGCTAATGCGACATAGTTTGCTTTTATCATTTTTTTTCAAGCATGTTGAGACTCTTACTTTGCAATTAAATGTGTAATGTTGATTGAACGAAATGTGTATTGTGTGATAAGCCCTCGATTAGCTTAGCTCAGAATCACGCAGCGAAGAATCAAAATTGGATGAATTTGGGGATGAAACTCGATGGAAATTAACGAACTAAATCAGGAACTTCAACACGAAACTGAGATAAAGGAAAAAGAAAACGTTTAACAATCAAAACTTGCATCCTAAGTTACTAACTTCTCTCACAAGTAAACTGTTCCAAAACAGCCTTTGATGTCAACTTTGTGGTTCTGAAAATCGGTCTTATGGGTTGAGTCGAGCTCAATCAATTACTTCCCTTGGTTTAGGAAGTCTTGCCATTCCATTCCCAACTCCAAACTCCAGCTGGTCATGCCCCAAACTCCTTGAATTCGAGCTCAAAGTTGGTACCTCAAACTGTTTTCCTGCCTTAGCCAAAAACAAGCATAATATCATAAAACGATGAGTAGGGTTTTGATGGCGTTGGAAAACAATAGGAGAAGGAGAGAGAGAATCATTAGTAATCATTGTCCAACTCGGGTTAGATAAGGTCCTTAAGGCTTATTTCTTAAGGAAGATCTTAAACCCTTTTCAACCAATAGGAGAAGGAGAGAGAGAATCATTAGTAATCATTGTCCAACTACCAAATAAAAACGTGGAAGGGTGAGAAAGGAATAGAGTAAAAAATTAACTATTAATAATTACTATTGGGAAACTGCCGAAAATAAAACAAACATGGGTGGAGATTTATTTTCGAGCCCATGTCGTTCTCCCAACCCTAAAACCGCTTCGACACTCGCCGCCGCCGTCTGGACAATCTTCGTCAGCAATCCCGGCGTCTGCGTTTGGTCGTCACGTCGCCAACCCGGTGTCGGCGTCCAGTCATCACGTCGTCAGGTCACCATCTTCATGTCTTCACGCGCCATCATACTGCCCGACTCCGCCGTCGTCCAGCGCCATCCAACATCTCCCCATCCGGTCGTAGCCCCATCTTGCCGGTCCCCCGCTGTCGAGGCGAAGTTTGTTAATAATATTATTGTTTACGTTGAAAAACGAAGAGAATTTGTTAATAATGAATTCGTCATTTGTTGTAAATTATGTTGGAAATGTTGATAATGCTATTGTATATTGTTAATAATACAAAGCTGAAAAGTTGATAATAGCGTCACTAAAAATGTTTACAACACAACAAGTAAATCAAGCTTCAATTTGATTGAGAATGTTAATAATAGTGTCACTTGAAAATGTTAATAATGTAGGTGAAAACATTAATAATAATATATATTGTTAAAACGTTGACAGCTCGGTTAAACTGCTTTAAAAACCTCAAATCATATGCTCATCGTATTGTGACAGCATTTTAGTAACTGGTTAATTATTTCGATGATCTCATTAATAATAATGATGTGGTAGGTTAATAATATTTACAACACGATCGGTAAATTGCGTTTCAATTTGATTGAGAAGGTTAATAATAGCATCACGGAAAAATGTTAATAACGTATGTGAAAAAACTAATATGTGTTGTTGACAGTGTTGACAACTCCGTTACGTTGCTCTAAAAATCTCAAATTAGAGGCTCCCCTTATTGTCACGACATTTTAGTTACTGGTTAATAATTTCAGTAATATAATTAATAATAGAGTCGCAAAGGTTAATATTGTGGACAATACGACCATTAAATCGCGTTTTTTATTAATAATTCTAGTAGCGTCAGTAAAAATGTTAATAACATATGCCTAATCATTAATATTTACTGTTTAAAATGTTGACAAATCCGTTACATTGCTTTGAAAACCTCAATCTACCAGCTGCTCAATCCACAGGCTCCTCTGTTACATTGACAACTCTGTCGCGTTTCTTTTCAATGGTAAGCGATGGACGTAGCGGCCGACAACAAGTTTGTTCTTACAGATCTTGGATTGTGGTATATCATGTAGCACTACAAAAAATTTGAGTGCACACACATGACACATGGCACTGGCAGAATTAAGAGATCATCGTGGTCAGCTCTAACCTGAATTGAGTGGTATGGGGAAGCTTGGAATTGATGTCTTGTCCAACTGGGAAGAAATCAAAGAGATCAGTACTCTCTGTTGCTGGAAAGTTCAATCCTCTCTTTCCGAAAGCAGCAACGAGTACTAGCACAATGCTGGGCAAAGGGCTTCCTCGAGGCTTGGCGACGACATAGATGCCTCTGTATCTACCCCACAAGAAAAGAAGGATGGCGCAAAGCATTAACAGCACTGGGACGAGCAAGCCGAGGAACCAACTCTTAGTCGTTTGGGCCCAATCAAAGATTGTGACCGAGACCATCGCGACCGCCGTGGCAGTGAGCTTATACCGCTTGTGGAATTTCTTGACCGCCTTCCTCCCTGACTCGGTTTCGGAATCGAACTGGTCTGCTCCGAACCCGACATTGCACGACCGGATCCCGCCCGACCCGACCACGAGGGGGCCAAAGCAGAGGACTAGTAACAGGAACTGCCCTGCCGTCGCATGACACGCATGGCCTTGTGGGCAGTTGGGGTGGAAGGCAGGGATCGATGTCACCCACAAAAGCACCAAGCCCTATCAAAGGGGAAAAGGAGAGAGAACTGTTGTTACTTACTTAATAGCAATGTTGTCAGAACCGAACCGGAGCATGACCCGGTAATGCGAACGGCTCGCACTTTAGCGGTCCAACCAACATTAGACCGTTTAAAAACCGTTAGAGAACCGGTATCTAATAAACGTTATCAGTATAAATAGTGGACATTTCTTAATCAGAGCTCATCTCTTTCCTTCGAAATTGTAAATGGAAATAAGGATTCAATTTGAGAGCCCGACGTTTTTGGTTTATTTCAATTTTCAATTTTCTACAATTTTTTTAATTAAATTTAGTGGCTGAATGGCAAAAACCGGACGAGCGGCTCGATCGGCTCGAACGGTTAACCGCCTCGGCCGCTCGCCAACCGCTACATAAAACCGGAGCGGCTTTTAGACTGTTCCGAGCCGGTTTTGTGACTGGGTGGCGGTTTTACCGGTCGGGCCGAGCGGCTCGGTTCGGCTTTAATAACACTGCTTAATAGCATAACAATACCTAATTGACTAGCTACGATTATATCTACACAATATATTATGCACTTCACTCTATGTCATTGTTGCCACCTTGCACTTTGATTGGTTCTCCTTATTTGATGGAAGGGCAATTTTGTCCATTTTTCAAAAGTTGATGTACTCAAGAGTCACTCATTATTATTGGACTTTTTTTGGTTTTCTTTTTGTAAATGAGATCAAGATTAAGGGAAATGAATATTTGGTTTAAGATAAATATTATTATAATAATTATTTGGACTTTGCTCTATGTAGATTTATTTTGTGTGGTTGGGAAAAAATCAGAAGTTATTTAAAGTTGTTTAGCTCCACAATGAGATAATGATAGCAAATTGAATTTCGAGATGACGAAGTTGATATATTGTTGTGGCGTGGATGTTTGCGAAGAGGTTCCTTCTGAATAGATTTTTTCGCATCGGATTTTTACGTTAAACAGATAAATCAAGTTTCAACCCTCAAAAGATTGAGAATCTTAATTTCACAGTGACTTTGGAAAACATGAACAGTAAGAAAAATGGGAAATCTTGGCAAAATACAATCAATTTCTATTGTTTTTTATTCTTTTAATTTTCAAATAAGCATGTCTAATTTTTTTATTTTTTACATTAAATTTCGAAAGGTACAATTACGATCATGTTTAGTCTTAGGTTAAATAATAATTCCATCCACATCGTATTGACTCTATATTTTGTTATGTGAAATCAATAATTGCATTAAGCTCAAGCAAACCATCAGAAAAACCTGACGTGCCTCTCAAACAATACAACCAAAAATCACCCAGCAAAGGGCTATAACACTAAAAAAGAGTAATTCTATAACTATAATCTATCTATATACTCCAACTCGGCCTAGAGAATAGGATCCCCTGTCACTCGATACAAGACATCGCTATGAATTTCATTCATCAACTCTCCTAGCAGCATGATGGACTTCTTGCCATAGAGCCTGGTACATCGTTCTCGCCAAATATGGCTTAGAGCTGTACTCCATACAGTAACCTGCACAAACAGTGCCTTGGATTCTTCTTTAAATAATTGAACAAAAAAATAATTGATTTTTTTATTGTATGTAATTGCTTAAAGTCGAAGAAAAATGAATGAATCGCAACCATATAAAATGTTCTTTTTACTATCATCTTTAAACTTCACTTATTTTTAGTTTCGTTCTATCATGATTCATTGGGATTGTGGACCAACCAATACGAAAACAACTTAAATACTTCTTCAACCTAATTATGCTACTATTTACATCTATACTATTTACATGAATGAATATTTCTATTAACGATTCCAAAATAGTTGTATAACGATAAACCATTAATCTTGAGTCATTGACATCTTCCATCCACAACCGCTTCGCTTTTGAAAACATAGGTAATAAACATTTGAAAATATGAGCATATTGTTAAAGGTTAACTTTGAATTCCGGTAACTAGAGTTCAAATGGATGAATAACATATAAAGGTCATTTCAAGTCAAAATATTCTTCATTTTCGTCTCCTTTAAATATACAAATTTAATACATCTATACTAATATTTCCGAATCTTAGTTGCTTTACATCAGGGCCGGCCAAGAGGGTGTGTCGGTTCGCAGTGCCTGCACAAGGCCTCTGAATATTAGGGGCCTCCAGTTAGATCCGTTAACTACCGATCAAATAGTGTAGGTTGTATTTTTAGTGTATGGTTGATTTATTACGAGTATGATGAAGAGTTTAATAGATAATTTTATCTATAATAAAAATTGAAAAGGATCTCATGGAGAATACGAAATCATAGAGATAATAGATAATTTTAATTTTTTGAAGAGGGCCTCCAAATATCATGGGACGACCATGCTTTACATAATTGTCCAAATAATCTATTTTCATACCACATTTTACCTCTTTTCCTCGAATTTTATATTTTTAAACTATTTAAATGTAATACATCTATAGTAACATTTTGTGTATTATTTCCTTTGTAATTCAAATAGATGATCAATCTACAATATATAAATCAAAATAGTGATACAATGATATTTGCAAGCTACTTATTTCATATATAACGAAAATATAGATCTTTGTTGAAATTTGTTGCTTTGATTTAGTGATGTTTAATATCTCAAGGCATGAATATAGATTCTAGATAGCTTTTCATTTCATTTGTTGTCTAACTTAAACTTAGTATGGTTAAGTATAGAATGAAACACAGATTCAATAAAAATTATAAAGTTAATGGACACTCAAAGTAAAAAAGAATAAACTATCAAGGTACTCTTTCGCACCATCGGTACTCAATACTAAAAGTCGAACCACCTATATTTAAATATAAAAAATACCCAAATGACCACGAACCGGCCAACGGGCCGGATACAACACTAGTTATTATTTATTGACTTACGAGGAAACTGAAGACAGAAGAAGACGCGATGACGTTTTAGCGGCCGAAATATGCGTCGCCGAGGAGGGCTCCCGCTAAGCCCGCCACATTGCAGCTACTGTTGAACACGCTGAGCAGTGCGTTGGCCGTCGCCGTTTTCACTAAAAACACCTTAATCAAATAAAGATTCAGACTCGCCGTCGAGTCAAGGGTGGCCGCCTTCTCGAATGCTTCAACGCCTGTACATGAGCACGTACAAAAGAGCCCCCAACAAAACAAGTTAAAAACAGAAGCAAACAAACAACCAATTCACGTACCTACCTACGTAACTAGCTAGCTAGTTAATTACCCAACCACCATCCATGCACAAATAGCTTCGAAACCATAATCAACAAGAGTTACTGATCATGACTTACCAACAATGTACTTCATGGTGCTCATTCCTTTGCGGCCGCCGCCCGAGTCTTCCTCCCGCCGGATCTCCTCGTCATTGTGGATATCGTCGGTCATCGTACTATAGATGAACAACAGTGATAGGGGGTTGGGCTTTTGATTCAGTAGAGGGAAGCGGTAGACAATGATGGAAAGAAAAGGAGGATCTTAGTTTATATAGCTAGCTAGCTAGGTAGGCGAGAATTGGGTAGAGTGATTAAAAGCATTCTGAATGAACTAAAATTAAAGTCACAGTGAAAGGTAGTAGTAATGTAGTATCCTTTCTCCATTTCCCATATCTCAAACGAAATATCAATGATTCAAAATAACTAAGGATCACTTTGTTCCGTCACCTTTTGAGAACTAGCATTTCTAGCTTACCATGCACATAAATAAGTACCACACTCATCTTAGAAACTCCATCCCACAACAATACAACACCTAATAATCTGTTCCACACATTGATTGGTAGGAATTCTATTGTGCCGGGACTCTGCCCGTGCCATGCACAATTGAGGACTTTTGCCGGGTGTGTTCACTCTTTAGGGTTTTTTTTCTTCTTATCGTTAGATATTGTTATATAGAAAAGATCAAAAGGTAAAGCATAACGTATTTGTTCCAATTATCTTCTTCACGATACTATATGCACGTTCCTCGCGATAACATACATAATTGTAGAATGCTAGCTCTCTGCGCAATTGAATGAAGGGTTCCTTGGTCTTTTTAGACCAATTATTTTTCTACCTTGCATTCTCGCTTTTCGTGGTGTAGTTCGCTTCCCTTTTATTTGGTTTGTTGATGTGACTTGAATCGGACTATCAGCCGCTACGACTGGTAATCGGGGGTCTCGCTGTTATTTGGGTTCGGGTATTTTGGGCCTGGTCTGTAACCGTTTCCTTTGCTTGATTGGATTAGGTTTAGACCCCAAGGTGACCCAAGGTATTTGACCCCGGGTGACCGGAATGACCCCGGGGTGGGGTTGTTTCCGTCCAATAAAATAAAATTTTCTTAGGGTCCACCACTAATAATATCCAAATAATTCATTCTTAGATAATAAAGAATTTTAGATTAATATAATCATTATTTTCATAAGTAATCACGATGCATTTTCATATTTTCAATGTATCCAACTAAGCAATCATTAGCAAATTGGTGGCAGTACTTTGTTGTTCTCAATCTTCCCTAATTCTCTTCTCAAATTCTTATCTCATATCATAGAAACTCATATTTCTATAACATTTTGTCTTAGCTTTTGAATAGGTACCAATCAATGCTGGGAACGGATTACAAAACTGCATTGTGAGATGGAGATTGCTTGATCAGATTGACAAAGAAAAGAACTCAAGACTACAACTTTACATGCGCTTTTAAGATATGGGGAGTAGTACTTATGTGCATGGTGGTCATGAGCTAGAAATGTTAGTTTTCAGAAAGATAGACAGAAGAAAGTGCTCCTTTGCTATTTTGCCTCACTGATCTCTTTCTTTTGAGCCATGGAGAAATGGAGAAAGAACACTGCCTTTCAATACAACTTCAATTTAATTTCTCATCCAATTTTTTTGAATCACCATGTGGCGTGAGGGCCAGCTCATGTATGTCATGTAAGCATAAAAAGGCCTAAAACACCCTGTAAGAGCTAGGAAGTCCAACCCCATCACCGTTAAGTTTATCATGGCTCAAGCAGCAACCACGATGACCGATGATATTCACCAAGAGGAGATCCGGCAGGGGGAAAACACGGACGGTGGCCGCAAAGGAATCAGCACCATGAAGTATATTGTTGGTAAGTCAGTGACTTGTTTATTAATTATGGTTTCCAGCTACATGAAGGTGTTGTTTGCTTCTTTTTCTGACTTGGTGGGGTCTCTTTTCCGCATAGGTGTTGAAGCATTCGAGAAGGCGGCCACTGTTGAGTCGACGGCCAGTCTGAATCTGTATCTGATCATGGCGTTTTATATGAAAACGACAACGGCCAACGCACTGCTAAGCGTGTTTAACAGCACCTGCAACGTGGCGGTGCTAGCGGGAGCCCTCCTCGGCGACGCATATTTCGGCCACTTCAGCGTCGTCGCCTGTTCGTGTGTGTTCAGTTTCCTCGTAAGTCAATATATAATGTATAGTATCAGTAGCTTGCTACTTATAAGTAGAGGTAGACTGGTGGTCTGAAACATTAATTAATTTCTCCTTTTTGTTTTTCCTTTGACGGTTGTGATCGCCGGCCGGCGGTAGGGCTTGGTGCTTTTGGGGCTGACATCGATCCCTGCCCTCCACCCCAACTGCCCACAAGATCTGGACCACGCGTCATGTCAAGCGACGACGGCAGGGCAGTCCCTGTTTCTTCTCCTCTGCTTCGGCCTCCTCGTTATCGGGTCGGGCGGGATCCGGTCTTGCACCGTTGCATTCGGAGCGGACCAGCTCGATTCCGAGACCGAGTCAGAGAGGAAGGCGGTCAGCAATTTTCACAAGCGCTACAAGTTCACAGTCAAGGCTGTCGTGATGGTCTCGGGCACGGTCTTCGGTTGGGCCCAAACGGCTAAGAGTTGGTTCTTCGGCCTGCTCGCGCCAGTGCTACTGTTGCTTTGCTCCATCCTTATTTTCTTGTGGGTAGATACAAAGGCATCTTTTTCATCGCCAAGCCTTGAGGAAGTCCTTTGCCCAGCGTGGTGCAAGTACTCGTTGCTGCTTTCAGAAAGAGGGGATTGGAGTTTCCAGCAACAACAGAGTACTGATCATCTCTTTGATTTCTTCCCAGCTGGACTGGACATCAATTCCAAGCTTCCCCGTACCACTCAATTCAGGTTAAATCAGTTGACCATTTAGCTGATTAACTCTGCCATGTTTTATATAATTTGTTGGTCTAACAAATTTGGATTAAATCAAATATATATATGATCAGATTCTTGGACAAGGCAGCCATTGCCACTCCACACGACGAGCTCAACCAGGATGGGTCGCCTAAGGAGCCATGGAGCCTTTGCAGCATCCAACAAGTGGAGGAAGTGAAGATCTTGCTGAGGTTGCTCCCCGTATGGGCAACCTTCGTACCCTTCCAACTTGCCATATCCCAGCTCCGAAGCTACGTCGCCATCCAAGCTCTGCAGTCCGACACCAAACTGTTGGGGTCGAACTTCGAAATCCCTGCGCCATTCCACGATGTCTTCTTCAAGCTTGCTGCCGCAATTTGGATCCCCATCTACGCCAAACTACTCGTCCCGGCAGCACAGAGGATCACCCGAAAGGAAGGCGGGATCACGGTGCTTCAAAGGGTTGGGACCGGGCTGTTCCTAGGGGTCGTCTCCTTGGTCGTGGCTGGCTTGATTGAAGAGAAGAGGAAGAGGATGGACTCGTCCATGGGGAGCCTGTGGCTGATTCCTCAAATCGCGGTGGCCGGAGTTGCGAATAAGATGGCACTCGTTGGATTGGTGATCTTCAGCGAGCAGGAGTTTCCGGAGAGAATGAAAGTTGTTGCTTGGTGGGCGCCGCTCTTCCTTGCTCGAGGGCTTGGATATTCCTTTGCTGGACTTTTGGTGTCGGGGGTTCACAAAGGAGGAGGAGACTGGCTTCCTGATGATCTGAATCAAGGCAAGCTGGACTATTACTTCTACTTGATCGCTGGGCTGCTACTTATGAATTTTGGTTGTTTCATTTACTGTGCTGGCAAATACAAGTACCGATGCCAAGTTGAAGTTAAGCAGGAAGGAGCAACCGATGTAGCAGAGTAGATCACTCCTTTTGCTTGTAATCTTGTGAAACTTGATGTCGTGCTATATGTTCTTATTATGGTTTATGGCCGGTGATGACTTGATTTTTCTCTTCATTAATGTTGCGGATGGATGAATGGTTTTATGAAAAGAGCTAGAGATCAATTTCCGTGGTTGGACTTCAGCAGCTAATAATTAATTAATAACGCAAGGATTGTGCAAGAGCGCAAGGTACAAAGCCATTGCTTCAAGTGAAAGATTTGGACGACGCCGCTTGGCTGGGGAGTGGGGATCGCTCGCCGGAAAGACACCAAGGCGATTAGAAACGTCGAATATGAAGGCGATTGCTTTGAAGCAGGGGATAGTTGTCGAGCAGGAAGGATGCTTCGCTCATCCCACAGTTGGGATGGGAGGTTGAGCACGCTCTTCCTTCTCAACTGTTAGTCCATTAATTTCTCTTGAGCTTTGATTATGTTCCCCGACCGTCGGAGGAAATTGAGAATTTGGGTTTTGACTTTTGTGGGATTTCGGAGAGGGTCGCCTGCCCTGTCTGTAAGAGAGAAAAGAGAAGATTTATTCCGACGAGAGGTTTACATACCTGAATCCGATCATTGCACCGCCACCGCAGACTCTATTCCTTCCTTCGTGGCCGCTGACGACAGAATTGCAAATTGCAAGGGGGAAGGAGGAAATCCTGCAGGTTAAAATCAGTTGGCTTGATTCATTTTGCTAAGATCCAGTTTTGCGCTTAGGTTATAGTTTACGAGATGGGCCCAATTCCAACCCAATACACAGTTGCATCAGCTCAACCCAGCCCACATAAACAGAGGATCGCATAGACTCCGAATTATGGCTCCATGACTCCATCCATTGATCTTCTTACCCCAACACGCCTGATAAATCAGAATTGCCGAATTGGTACCTGCTTTTTTCAGTTGGGTTATTCACCTCACATTCACAAAATCACTATGGTGTGATATTTAAAAAAAAATATATACAAGGATTTAATAGATAAAATATCAGAATCTAGAGATACTCAATATAATGTGTTGTTTGCATTATTATTACTGATGCTTCTTTGGCCCTTTGTGCAATTTATATTTTCTTTCAATAATATTTGAGGATTTGAAAAATATATTAATAGACATGTGTAGTATTACTATATATATATATGTGTGAAAATTTGTGTTAATGGAAACATTTGAATCATGTCAATGTTTGTATTTTCGGAACACTCATTCGTAAAGCGAAATGACCTAAAATTCAACTCTAATATTTTGGTTGGGTCAGTACTTGACCCAAAATCAACCAATCTGATATGACCCGACCCACTACGACCGCGTAACCTGAGATCACACAAGCCAACATAATGGCCAAGTCTATGATCACTTGAAGTTGGAACGAGGATCATTCCAAGAAACAACACATTTCTAGTTCTATGAAAAGTAAAACGGTAACGAGTCGTATTTATTAACATAAAACTTATGAGCACTTGGAAGGTAAACTTAATTAATATACTCTCGTCTTAAGTAGGGTGTTATGTTTGGAAAGTAATTGATGGCGATATGAAATAGTAGTTAATGTGGGAGAAGATATTGCAACGATGTGACAACATATATAAAGACTCTAAACGCTTAGAGACAACCTACAGAAAAGAGAAGAGTAGAATTAGTAGTACTACGAATTGATAAGTAATGGATACTACTATTAGTCAGTCCATCACCATATTCCTAATCACTTTCTTAGTCTTGCTTCCCCAAAACTCAGCCAAATTCTGGTGGGAAGTTCATTATGTCCACATACAAAACCACCTGAGTGACCCCTCAGCCCAGTTACTAGTGCACTGCAAATCAAAGGATGACGATCTTGAACTTCATTATATTGCAGTAAACGACGAATTTCAATGGCACTTTCGTAACGAAGTTTTCAAGCAGACTCTGTTTTGGTGTCGTTTGCAGCCATCCAACAACATTAGAGCGGCTGCTTTTGTAGCTTACGTAAACAACGAAGATCAAACTCCTAAGGAATATGGATACCATAATTACTGGATTGGTAAAGACGATGGAGTCTATTCCAAAAGGATAAATCACAATAATAATCAATGGGAAGAAAAACTGCAGGTTCGTTGGGAATAGAAAACATGAATTAGTTCAGAAACCTTAGTGCACGACAAGAAGATCAATGACATACAACAATATAGTTGTATTTTTGTTTGAATCGATAGAATAATTACGCTTTATACATTTAATAAATTTTCACTTTGTTCGTCAATCGAATTGCTTCTCATTTACCAGTTCATGGAAACAATCAAATAAATTATTTATATCCTATAACTCGTTACACATCAACGACAAGTTTAAGGATTAAATGAATAGTATTAGGGGATTGAGTTGTTTCTGATTTAACAACTCGAATATGCTTGAAAAATGACACAACTCAACCCACATTTTTAAAGATCAAGTCCAACTTTTTAGTGAGGGCAACATAATTTTAATCTTTATTCTTATATATTATTTAAGAGACTCAAACATATGATCTCTAAATAGAAGACCAACAATAAAATCGCTTGACTAAACCTTTGTTCACATGAATTATACTTTTAACCAGGCTACATTTCAATTTCATCCAGTTTAACGGGGCAAAATTTCAGTTTCTTCCAACTTTGACGAATGTAATATTCACAAGGAATTCGATTGCTCTAAAGTTCACATTTGTTCCCATGAAAAATACTTTTGTTCACTAAATTTGGTTGTGACAAAAAAAAAACGCTACAAAAAAACAATGTAACAATCTAAGAACTGCAAATTTATCTTCCCTATATCACATTGATGCTAGTGATTTGGTAACGAAGATCGAGATTATCATGCCAACCAAGTAACATATATTCATGACGGTGTTATACTGTGGAAATTATGAGGGAATGAGTCCATTGTTTAGCAATGTAGGTGAACTCGTGTGGATATATATTGGGTATATTTGCTGCTTTTTTGGTGTCTATGCTGTTGTTTTTCGTCTCTTCCATCCTGCCCTTGGTTCAGTTGTACTTCTCTCAGTAGTCTTATATATTGTGTAATCCCTTAAGTAATGAAACTGTCGCATCCTTATTAAAAGAATGTGATTTATAAGAGTGTTTAGTGTTTTGTCAGTAAGGGTTGTAATAGTAGACCCACATAGTTACGTTGGATGATAATACCCACAGAGCTTAAAGTTTGTATACATATTCACACACAATAAAGAAAAGAATGACTTGTTACAAACATCTATTTTTATAATCAAAGAGGAAAATATGGTTAGTATCAAAACGATCCTTTACAAGTGATTGATTTCGTGGATTATTTGTGTAGGGCGCTTGCTGTCTGAAGGTTTGGTGGAGCACATTTCACATGTACAACTTGTAGATGGATTATCCACTGGGATGTGAGTGAAACGAGAACTACTCAGTAAATGGAAAAAGAGCCCACATCAAAATGGAAAATGTGTGTGAAATCTTCTAATTTTTCCATCTTCATTTTACAAAAAGGGCAAATAAACTATATGCAGATTTATTGTTCTTTTTCAATGTTTGTTTCTCTTTTTCAACTTCATGTTTAGTTGGGGTTTTATGAGTTTTGGTTGTTGGTTGAGTTCGATTTTGATGAATTTGACCATGTGAATTATTTTAATATTGATTTGGATGATGTGGCAATTTTAAATGTAAAGTTGAAAGATTGTGAAGGGATTGTTATGTGATTAAAATTTACAACAAGCTAAACAATGCACGATCTTTCTACAATAAAAAGAAAAAAATAGTTGTCTTCTATGGGAAATACTTGGCTGCAATGGACTCATTCATTCTTACTAACTACTAGCGTTACCCTATAATTTGGAATGTGAAATATAAATAAAAAAATGGACCAATAAGGAGATAACATGTGGAGGGGTAGCAGGAGCGGGCTGCTACCTAGGTTTTAGCCAAGTATTTCCCGTATTCTGTTAATGTTCCATCTCCAAGGAACAAGAAAAATACAATATCCTACTGAAGGTACAAATGATCTATCATTAGGATAGTTTTGTAATCGATTGCCCTTCCTCCTTCTAATTTTGATCACCGCGCTTCAAAACTTTGATCGAAATCTTGGACATATAAAAAATAATTGAGTTAATAGCATATTTTGTCCCTTTACTATGGATATTTCTCACACGTGCTTCTCTACTATGTTTCACGTCAAAGTTGCCTATTTATAAACCCAAATTCTGAACATGTCCCTCAGTTAGTTTTTCCATCAAAATACCGTTATATTTCGTTAAATCAAAGTCTGACAAACCTAAACGTAAACGGTCTAAAATACCCCTGGTTATGTGTCGATCTGACTGGATCTTCGCCTTTGACTCATACTGGGATGATTGGTTTTGTTCCCGGACGAGTTGTTGCTTATGCTGCTCAACGAAAGTGTGTCAAGTATCGAGACTTGTGCATGCATGGCAGCCGATTATAGTTTCCTGCCCTTTTCATTTTCTTTGCTGGGAGAGTTGGACATGGATGTCGTGGCTTTACTCAAGCGGATCCATAAATTCTCCGTGTCACAAGATGTGGGAGCTCGGGTAGCTACGTAATTTTTACTCGACTTAGCTTTGCTATAGAGTGGGAGCCCTCGGCTACCCACTATTTTTTTTAGACCTTTATTTGTTCTGTTGTCCGCACTCCATACAGTGACTCGGGTTTATAATAATAATAAAGTAAAGAAAAAATATTAAATTAAAAAATCCACCACTCCAAGATTATGTCATCGCCATTTGAATCTCCTTTTCCCCTTTTTGTCATTCGTCTTCTTCAATCAAATGAAGCAACTCAACAAGGACTTCTATTTCCCTTGACTTTCTTTGTAATCTCCACTCGATGCTTCCTTTCTTTTTTCTTATCTTGTCTCTGGTTTCAAAGTAAATATTAGGATTGCAGCTAAATGGCAATGGCGGGTAACTCTTCAATCTCTCACGGCAGACTGAAAGCAGTACTAGTTATTGCCTTGATTGGTCTGTATCTTCTGCCGGAGTTCATATATCGCTTTCATAGCCATTTTTCATACCCTAAAGATAAAAAAATGGCTTGTTATTTATCGGCATAAGATGAACGGATGACCATCCACCTGGAACCATGAACGTTGAATGAAAGAGGTGCTTGTGAGGTCAGACTAGCAAGAAGAAACAACTATTATAATAATAATAATAATAATAATAATAATAATAATATTATTATTATTATTATATTAAAGTGACACATGAAAAATGTCATCATACGTCGTATTTTGTGGTAGCGAAATGACCAACTTGTTAGTAACCCAAATGTAAGAGCGAGCTATTGACCCACAAAATTAAAGTATGGGATGAATGGAATGCCCTAGAATCTTGAGAAGTTAGCCTCTAATTCGTTACGTTCTCTTAGACTAATTTACAAGTGTTAGCGCGTAAATTGAGAAGCTTTGTATATAGTGGCTTGAAAAATGAGTTCATGTGCCATTTTTATACTTAACCTAGTGTAGTGATGACAATTTGGACCCGAAATGTCTTGATCTATGTTGGAGCATGTACCTAGCCGCCACGTGTGCGTACATGCATACCCTAATCGTACGTCTTCCGAACTTATAATATTGAGTGTAAGCATAACTTCGATCTACATAAAATATCAGTATGCAAGCATAGATTTAGCAGCACAACTTGACGAAGTACTTAATTATGCTACATACATCCCATATCTTACGAAACTTGAGTTCGAGTTTTATTACAGAATCAAATAAAACATTCATTCATCTAGGGGAGAGAGACCAACTATTCGATCAATCATGTAATGATCTCTTTCCTTTTTTTTTTTGCCCGCACACACTCTCTTACATGCCGTTTGTTTGGTATAAATGAATTCCATAAGTTTTGAGAAATTCATTCTGGAATGAAATATTTTTGTGTTTGGTATTTAAAAGAATTCATTCTCAATTCTAAATTTTGAATTCTACGGAATTGGAGCAAGTTATAGCAATTCCGAGGAATTGAGATGGAATTTCCAAATGAATTTCACAAGTGTTTACTAATTATAATAGAATGACATAATCATCATCATTTATTAACTAAATTACTTATACATATGACATACCAAACACATGAATAATTCATGTGTTTGGTATGTCATATGACAATTAATTCTACACGACAATTCATTTTATTTCTAAAGATTTGAATATGACATACAAAACACAAGATTTCATTTGACAATATATTCTACATAGTAATTCATTTTAAAATGAAATGAATTCTCGATTCATTCGGTACCAAACAGTCTGTTAGTGTAACTCGACACGTTTACTCTAGTGTGAGAGCAACAATTGAGAAATTAATGAAGTCAGTGGATGGACGGGTTAGTGAAGTGGTTCAATTTTTTGTCCTCCATCCGGGGTTGAGTATTCGATTTGTAGGCCGTCGTAGTAATAGGGTAGCCCATTTGGTGGCTAGAAAGGCCCTTTCATTGTACCCGGCTGCTTGTCGTAGGTTTGATTTTCTGGCCTGGCTAAATTCCAGGATATAACTGTCTTCTTGATTGATTAATATATATCTTTTGTAAAAAAAAAAAAAAAGTGGATGGACGGGTGGGTCATGGGTGGGAGCATCCCCAAACTCGCTCCGGTACAACCCTTTCGAAGGCATTAGGCATGTACGTACGTACGTACCTAACCCTGTCGTGAGACAAAATGGAAACAACCCCTTTCCCATGATAGGTTTCCCATATAAAAAAGGGCCAGCCTGCTGCTTCAACTAATCATAACGATCCTTAAGCATGTCCATGAAACCGTACCGTACAGGCAGTTCAATCACGAAATGTTAGTATTGGAGAAAAAACCGGTAAGCGGTATTTAACGGTACTAACGGTTGAACTACGATTA